TAACATACCTGAAATTACACAATGTTATAAACCATTACAATCCCAATAAAATTAATTTTTAAAAAAGAAAATAACATGCAATAATCAGGTGGGATCAATTCCAGGAATGCAAGTAGGTTCAACATTAGGGAATTCATTAATATAATATACCATATCAACAGATCTAAGGAGAAAAATTATATGATTATCTCCATACCTGTTTAAATGGCCTCTGACAAAATTCAACACCCTTTCCTGGTTAAAATTCTCAAGAAAATATGAATTAAGCCAGTTTTGAAGCCAGTATTCATTTGGTGGGGAAACAGAGAGGCAGTTTTACTAAGATTAAGAACAAGGTCCAGTTGCTTACTATCTCCACCACTACTCAACATATCACTGGTGCTATTAGCCAAAGCAATTAGATAAAAGAAGTCAATAAAGGCAAGAAAATTGGAGGAAAAAAGTGGTAAAACCACCTCTATCTGAAGATGCACTGATAGTATATCTAAATGCTAGAGAATTAATAATAACACTAACTCAAATGTTTAAAAAATTCAATAAGGAAGCAGGATATGAAATTAACATATATAAATCAATAGCCTTATATAGGTAAATAATAACTAAAGGATATTGAGTAGGAAAATCCTCACTTCAGGAATAATCTTAACAAGAAGTGTACAAAACTCCTAAGAGGAAAATTTTAAAATACTTCTGAAAGACATAAAAGTGGACTTGAATAAAGGGAAAGATATCTCTTGTTCTTGGACAAGACAGGTCAATCAACATCATGATGTCACTTCTACCTATTTTATCAATTTAATGCAATCCTTATTTAAAAAAAACAAACAAGCTTCTCTGAGATAAACAAGTTAACAGTAAAGTGTTTTCAAAAAGCAGGAATAGGGGCCAGCCAGGTGGCGTAGTGGTTAAGTTCGCGCACACTGCTTTGGCAGCCCAGGGTTCGCAGGTTCAGATCCCAGGCGCAGACCTACACACCACTCATCAAGCCACACTGTGGCAGCGTCCCACATACAAAGTAGAGGAAGATTTTCCTCAAGCAAAAAGAGGATGATTGGCAACAGATGTTAGCTCAGGGCCAATCTTCCTCACCAAAAAGGAAAAAGGGGGAGAATATTCAAGAAATCACTGGAAATGAAAAGCTACAAGGGAAGGACCAGCCCTACATGACATTAAAACTTACTATAAGTCTTTAAAATAAAATAATATGGTCCTGATATATAACTCGATAAACAGACCAGTGGAATAGAATAGAAAGTCCAGGGAAAAAAATCAAATACATATGGTAACTTAGTAAAAAGGTAACATCTCAAGTCACTAGGGCAAAGATCTTTTTTTTTTTTTTTTTAAATAAATGGTGTTGGAACAAGTATTTGGAAAAAGAAAAAATTAAATCCATACCTCACAACATACAGTCCAAATAAATCAGAATTTAAATGTAAAAATGACATATGAATACTAGAAGGTAACATAGGTAAATTCCTTTATACACTCATATACCTGGATGCACATAAACAGTTTTTAACTAAGACACGAAATTCAGACGCAATAAGACTGATAAACTTGACCTCATAAAATTAAGAACCTTTTGCATAGCAAAAAGCATCATAAACAGTCAAAAGACAGCTACTGAATTTTGAGAAAATATTTGCGACACATATCACAGATGCAGATCTAATACCCTTAATAAATACAGAATTTTTGAAAAACTGAGGGGGAAAAGTACAAAACACTGATAGGAAAATGACTTGAATGAGCAATTCATACACACAAAGATTTTAAAAGGGACTTTAAACAAACAAAAAGATAATTCATGGCCTCATTTCATGCCACTCTTCCTCTCACTCCGTGTTCCGTGAAGCTTTCAAATTATCCCTCTGCAGAAACCTCACTCTTGCTTATTGCCTCTTATGCCCTCTATCCTCCCGTAACTCTTCAAATGGCTAGCCTCTTCTCATTTTCAGGTTCTCACTTAAAAGCCACCTCCTCAGAGAGGCTTCTCGGACCGCATCCGAGTCGTACCTGTCCCTCCAGCACCATCGTCCTCTATCCCAGCGCTCTCTCATCTCCTCAGAACAGCACCATCTGGGACTGTCTCTCCAATCTGAACGCTGGCTTCCCCAGGGAAGGTGCTTTGCTTGTCTTGTTCAAGGTTGTATCCTCAGTGTCTAGCACAAAGCTTGGCATATATTTCAAAGAACAGACGTAATTAAAGTAAAGTAACAAAAGGTCAGGAAGTAGCATAGAGATTTCAGGATTGGGGAGGTGCAGTCTCAGAGTGAAGACAAGGCCCAAGATGTAGCACTGCGGTGGGCTGCTGAAAGGAATGAGGGAGGCTCGAAGAACGGACGTGAAGGTGCCGGGGAGATGAGCCACACTTTTACTAAAGTCATAAACTACGGTATTCCTCCATCTGAGCACTATCTCTAGCTAACCCTTCCAATTCTCTTAGTAGCTCACATTCAATAAACCTTTTTTTAAATCTCACCGAGATCTCCAGACGCTCATCCCCCCTTTCTTTCACCCAGTTCATCAAACTCTTCCGGCTCCACTTGCTTCCTTCTCCAGCCTACATCCTCACTCGACCATCCCCACACCAACGCCATCTTTTTCCTCTGTCTACAGCAATTCTCAAACATGAGTCTACGAATCACCTGAGACAGTTTAAAATTTGAGCATATTCCGGGGGCCCCACCCTCTGAGTCAGCAGGTGTAAGGTGGAGGCCCAGGAATCCAGATTTTAACAAGCACTCCAGAAGATGTGGATACCAGTGATCCAGGGGTAATTTGAACACGGGTCTGGAGGAAGAGATGCCCTTCTTCCTATCCAAGGAGGATACCTCCACCTGTGCTCTGGAGCCCGGCCTCTTCCATCCCCACAGAACCACACTTCATCCTCCTCACTCTCTGCTACTTCTTTAACCTCTCCTTAAATCCTGATAGTCAAAACCATTTTTTCAACAAAGCACATCTGATCCATGTCATCCCTCTGCTTGAAACCCAGCAGCTTTTCCCACCACCCTGTAGTAGCGATTCTCAACTCTGAACATCCTTGAAATCAAATGTGTTCCAAGCATTATCTGCAAACTACTGTTTTCCAAAATGCATTCTGAGAGATGTGAAACACACCTGAGAGAGAGATTTGCTTCCAACTTTTAAAAAAAGCTATGTATTTCGTATAGAAAATGCTAAACATAATTGCATAGCTCTTCTTATTATCCTATGATGGTCTGCTTTCAAGAAATCATGTGCCATACACAAAAAATGCCAAGAAGCCACAGAAAAGACTACCTGTTGCCCAAATATGTAATGTTTCATCTGTGTACCGATGCGTAGGCGGCCTTTACTAAATTGAAGAGAGGTCATCCATTCCATGTTCAATGGTCTACATTATGTATCTTAGAGTAGCTGCTATGCTAATTTTAATAACAACATAGTTATCATATTACTCAAAGTTTACTGTATAATAAACATCTATCCTACACAAACTCATTCATCTGGATCTGTGTCAGAAGAATCCATTTGTGAGGTCATAACTAAATTCAAGTGCCCATTTCATTTCCTAAGCTCTTTTGGTTGTTTTGTCAAAACAGTAAAATATCCTATGGTCAAATAATTTGGGAAACCAAACTTGAGTAAACAAGAGACCTTGCATATACGTGCACCGCTCTTTTTTGAGTGTTTGTAGATGCTGTTGTATCTGTAACCAGACTCCATTAAAAACACTGCCGCAGGGTAGCTTTTTGTCATTATAGATTTTCCCAGTCAGTACACAGTAAAGAGCCAGCTACTCTTATGTGGGGAGACTTCTTTTTTTTACGAGAAAAAAAGATCCTCAAAAAAATATTGCAAATCACCATTCTCCAAAATAAAGTCCAAATTCCTTAAAAGGACATACAACAAAAACCTTCTATGGCCTAGATTTCCAAGCACCTCTCTCTTACACAACCTTTGCAATTTTTCCTAGTATCATCCTACAGCTAAGTCATAATATGCTCTTAATTTATCATAACAATGAGGGGAGAGTAGTCTAAATTTTTAGAATTAAGATGTTACTTTAGAGATCAAGTCAGTCAACTCCTTAATTTTACAGAGAAGGACATCATCTTTTTGTGTACCATTTGTTTCCTGATACATACTTTTTTTCTTCTTTTGAGGAAGATTAGCCCTGAGCTAACACCTGCCGCTTACTCCTTCTTCTGCTGAGGAAGACTGGCCCTGAGCTAACATCCGTGCCCATCTTCCTCTACTTTCTATGTGGGACGCCTACCACAGCATGGCTTGTCAAGGGGTGCCATGTCCACACCTGGGATCCGAACCTGGGAACCTCGGGCCACCGAGAAGCTGAACATTCGCACTTAACGCTGTGCCACCTGGCCGGCCCCCTTGATAGATACTTTTATCTGTACTATTTTTTAATAACTTAAGACTAATAGAGAATGTACAATTTCCTAATAATCCCCTAACAACTTTGAAAAAGTGAGTTTCAATTTGATCACCCTTTTCCACTTCCTCCATCTTCCGGTGATACCACTAAACGGGAAACCCAGGAGTTTCACACATTTTAAATAGGAATACACCTCTCTAATTAAGAACTCGAGGCCAAAATTCACTTTGCAGAAGTGATGCAGATTTGCTCTCACAGGTTCATCTCTAAGAACCCCAGGAACTGAAAACAAGGGAACCAAAGTTCCCGGAGTTTAGCCCTTTAACCTCATGAAGGAAATCCCAGTGACGATGACGATGACAGCACTCCTCACTCTGTGCCTTGCACTGTGTTCAGCACTTTATGCCCGCATCTCCTTCAGCTCCTCAGACAACCCTCTAAGCAAGGTCGGTAGTAACCATCTTCCTCCCACAGCTAATAAAGCGAGGCTCTGACAAGTGAAACAGCGTCGAGGTCCCACAAGTGAACCCCTCAGGCACCTAGGGCGAGTCTCCCTGGTCCCAGGCGCACGCGTGGACCCCGGTCCCCCCGGCGCCGCGCCCGCCGGGCCGCTCACGTTCAGCAGCCGGTGTGCCGCGCCCTCCTTGGCCTGGTCCTTGGGCAGGGCCGCGCTCTTGCCATGCTCTGGGGAGTTACGGGCCGAGGAAAACGACGCTCGGGAGTGCACGGTTTCCAGGTTGGTGTGGGGGCCCCGCTGCAGTATGGGGGCCACGTAATGGGAATGGACCCGCCCGCCGTGGTTAACAGCCGCGTTGGCAACCTTGGCCGTCTCTCTGGGCGGCTCCATCCCTCCATCCTCCGCGGGGCCTGTCGCGACTAACGGCCGGCCGGCTGGTGCGCAGGCGCAGCCGCCCTCCGCCGGCCTCGCGCGTTTCCCGCGCACGCGCCCAGCACCACGTGACCCGCACGCGTGGGCGGAGCTGCTGGCGTGGGGGCTCCCGGGCGCACCTCGAGGGTCTGCCAGCGCTTGCCGGGCAGTTTCCGTGTCCCTAAGAAGGAAGCCGGAGCATGCTGGCGGACAGCAAGGCGACTCAGCGCGGGGTTGGATGCCTTTGTTCTTTCCTTGCCTGCCTCTTAACCCACCATGAGGCCTCCTCTCCCTGCGCCTGTCCTTTCTGGGAATTTCCAGTAGCAGCCATCACTTCCGGACGCTATCCCCTGAACTGTGTTATCTTTCCAACAGTCTTCTTGGACGTCCTTACTCGTCTGTCCCAGAGACTCACAACACGGTAATATTCATCTTCCCTCCTGACCTCCGGTATGTCTCAAACTCATTTAATGTAGCAATGTCATGTCTACGAAAGCATAAAACTTCAGACACATTTTTGAATTCTAACCCTAAATATTTGAAGCCTACTCTTTCTCTTTATGGCACCCTGTTTAGGACATTGCGCACACAGATGATTGCATTGGTTTGCTCATGGGTCTCCTGACCTGCTGTCATCACACTCTTTCCATTGCCCCAGTATTAACAGTTTACCTTTAAAAACAAACAAAATGAGAAACTTTCACAACTTATTTATTGGCCATAAGTTTTAATTACTTAATATGGAAACCAAAGGCCTCCAAAATACACTTTGCTACCTCGGGATCATTATTTATTGCTATTCTATTTGGAACCTATTTTTATTTTATTCCAGGGCCAGCTCAAAGTTCAGTTTTCGATAAAGTTTTATAACCCCATACACATACCCCAAAAGCAGAATTAACTGCTGTCTGCAAGCTAGTACTTGGCACATCCCCATTAGGAGGCTCCGACTGTTAGAATCAGCTGTTATTATCAAGAGTTCTTTAGTAGCAGAAGCCTGATCCTCACCCTGCTCTCTGCAGGTACAAAGCCCTCCATACATGTTTGTTATCATTTGGGGTCTGTGCTGTGTGGCGTGTAATCACTGTGCCAATGAGACTTGCTGTCCACCAGCACACTCTGACTTCCTTATGGTCCATATGATGCAACATAAAAAATCTCACCTAACTCTAATCAAACCTCTTCACCTAACCTCCAGTCTACAGGAACTCAGGAGACAGAGGAACAAACTGAGTGATGCTATCAGGAAAATATCAAACAAATACAAAACGTAGGTGGAACATTCTAAAACAAAATTGGTTTGGATTCTTCAAAAAAAAAATGTCATGGGGGAATATAGAACGATATAATTGCGCTAGAAAACAGTCTGGCAGTTTCTTAAAAAACTAAACATAGAACTACCACAGAACCCAGCAATTGCACTCCTGGGCATTTATCCCAGACAAATAACTTACACTCACACAAAAACCTGTACACAAATGTTCACAGCAGCTTCACTCATAATTGCTAAGAAGTGGAATCAGCTCGGATGTCCTTCCACAGGTACGTGGTTCAACAAACTACAGTACATTCATACCTTGGAATATGATTTAGCAATAAGAAAGACTGAATACACACACAACCTGGATGAATCTCCAGGTAATTAAGCTGAGCAGAAAAAAGCTAATCCCAAGATTATATACTGCATGATTCAATTTATAATGTTCTTGAAATGACAAAATTTTAGAAAGAGAAGACAGACTAGCGGTTGTCAGGGGTTGGAATTCGGGGTGCAGGGACGGGCGTGGGAGGGAGGGAGGTGTGGCTATAAAGGGCAACATGAGAGATTCTTGTGGCTTTTGGAACTTTTGAGGATCTGGACCGTGGTGGTGGATACCCAAACCTACACAATCGATAAAATTGTGTAGAACTTAATACACATGCATGAGTACAAGTCAAACTGGGGAAATGGGAATCAGGTCGGTGGGTTGTATCAATGGCAATTCCTGGTTGTGATAGTGTACTATAGTTTCGCAAAATGTTATCCTTCAAAGACACTGGCAAAGTGTGCAAAGGATCTCTCTGTACTATTTCTTTTCTTTTTTTTTTTTTTTTTGAGGAAGATTAGCCCTGAGCTAACATCTGCTGCCAATGCTCCTCTTTTTACTGAGGAAGACTGGCCCCGAGCTAACATCCATCCCCATCTTCCTCCACTTTATATGCGCCACCAGGCCAGCCCTGTACTATTTCTTAAAGTTTGCATAAAATTACATTTATCTCAGTAAAATTTTCAATTAAAAAATGTCATAGGGGAGAAAAAAAGGTAAGACCATTTTAAATTAAGAGGTAAGATATAACAACCAAATGAAATGTGTAACCCTTGACTACATCTTGAGAGACGACTAGGGAAATTTGAGAATGGACTGGAATTACTGTTTTCCAGTTACTGTAATGCTATTGTGCTAGGTAGACAAATGTTCTTATTTTTGGAGGATGCATGCTTAAATATGTGGGTGAAGTGACATGATGTTAGCAACTCACTTTCAAAAGATTTAGCAAGGAAAAAAAGGGAGATGTATAAAGATAAAGCTGGGGCCAGCCCCGTGGCTGAATGGTTAAGTTCGCATGTTCCACTTCGGTGCCTGGGGTTTTGCCAGTTCGGATCCTGGGCAAGACATGGCACCACTCATCAGTCTATGCTGAGGCAGCATCCCACATGCCACAACCAGAAGGACCTACAACTAGAATACACAACTATGTGCTGGGGGGCTTATGGAAAGAAGAAGAAGAAAAAGGAAGATTGGCAACAGATGTAGCTCAGGTGCCAATCTTTAAAAAAAAAAGCAAGCAAGCGAATGTGACAAAATTTTAACAATGATTAAATCTAGATTGATCTAGATTACAGTTGCTATTACAGCAGTCTTTCAACATTTTTACCTTTGATACTTTCCAAATAAAAAGCCCTCAGGTCTCACTCCTTTCCTTGCCCCTGTCACCACCAGCAGAAGTCCCATCCATCCTACAAAGGACATGCTCACAGCCAACCTTATGCACAATACTGTCCTAGGTCCTTCAACCTCTGTGTGTCTTCTGACTAGATCAGGAGCTTCTAGAAGGAAGGCAGACACCATGTTTTTTATTTTTCATTTTTTGTCCTCTCACAAACCTAGCAATTTGATCAAGTCATCTGTCACCGTCCAAGCTTTATGGTTCCTAATGGATTACAAATGGTACGTGTAGGTCAGAGATCCCAAATGCTGGCTAGTCTGCTGACTGCATCAGTCACCTGGGGGACCTTTTTCTAGAAGGTAGTTTTCCAGGCACCACCTCAGACCTGGTGAATCTGAACCTCTGGGGATGGGGCCTGGGAGTGTGTATGTTTTGTTCTGCTTGGGGGAGGTGGAGAGAGGTACACGTTAATTACTGAATACTGTATTTTGCACCCAAAAATTAACTAAAAGCCCACTGGAGATCTTGCCTGTTGACACCTCAGAAACTCTATCATTGCTCTGCCCACACTTGATGAGGGAGAAGGGTGAGAAAAATGATGACTTTGAGCCAATCGTGGAGTCATAGGTTCGCAGTAAACGTCCTCCTAGGTCCCAGTCATCATGGCCAAAGGCTTTCCCTAACGGAAGATGTGCACAGGCCCACAGCTGCTCGAGGATCACGGACTTGCTGGGGTGATCGGGAAATCTGAAGTCCAGGTCATACTCCCCAGACCTGAATAATTCAAAGCAGCTACGCCCATGCCAGCTACAATGTCATCAACGGAGCCGGCTTTCCCAGTGGCACTCGGGGCAGCTCCACGGCTGCTTATTCTCCAGGACGTTGGGAGCAAAACTCCCTTCAGCCGTCTGTTAACTTTCTACTGCTGCCGTCACAAATTAGCCAAACTTAGCAGCTTAAACGACACGTTTGCTGTCTTACAGTTCTGTAGGTCAGAAGTCTGACATGCGTCTCCCTGGCCTGAAGTCAGGGTGTCAGCAGGGCTGATTTCCTTCCTGGAGCTTCCAGGGAAGGATCCGTTTCCTTGCTGACTCGGGACGCTGGCAGAATTCAGTTTCTTAAAGACGTGGGACTGAGCCCACACCCATTTTCTTGCTGGCTGTCAGCCAAGGGCCATTCTCAGCTTCTGGAGGTCACCCACGTTCCTTGGCTTGTGGCCCCCTCCTCCTTCAAAGCCAGCAACATCATGACCCTCTTGCCCTTCTCCCATCGCCATCTCTCCCTGACCACACAGGAAAGGTTCTCTGATCATAAGCACTCATGTGGTTACAGTGGGCCCACTGGATGATACAGGAAAATCTCCCCATTGCAAGGTTCAAACCTCAGTCACATCTGCAAAAGTCCTTCTGCCAATGCAATGTTCCAGGGATGGGACGCAGCCATTTTTGGGGATATTGTTCAGGCTAACACAATCGCACACTGTAGGACTGGTTTTCTCATGTCTCCCGGGTGACGCTGGCCAGGCGTGTAAGCCTCAGCTCTAATGAGCATGGCTTCCTTGAAGCTGGCTGACAGGGAGCATCATGAATCCTGCACGCCAGCCCGTTGCCAGAGCGAGAACCATCGCTGATCACAGTGAAAGCTGGAGTGGCTAGGACGACTTCAGAATTGCCAGTGGAGTCACAATTTTGTGACAGCAGGGGGAACACCCTGCTCCACAGCTCCAGCCTTACAGACAGCAAGATATTCCTAGCATGGTGCTCATACCAAATTTAGACCTGTTCTCAGAGCCACCCAGCTCCACCATCAATTTGTCAAGGCTCTTCTGTGCCACAACACTGAGCTGCTCGCAGACCTCGGCAGGCCCCGTAGCTTTCCTGATGTACTCCAGGGCCTCTGAGACACCCTTCCCCACAGAGTCTTGCTGTCTTGAGCACTAGGATCTCCTACCAGTTGAGGCGCCACTGGATACAGCTCTGAAAAGACCTTTTCCAGCGCAGGACCCACCTCAAGAGGGAATTTCCTCAGGAGCCAAAGGTCTGACAAAGAGCTTGAGAATAGGCATGGAGAATTCCTACTCATATTTCTTATCATGCAAAACAGAGGCAGAGGAAAGGGTTCAACTGTTAGCTCGGCAGGCTCACCGGCTCTCCTCTAGCCCCCTGAGCTCTGTGCTGTCCCGCTTCCCATTTGGTGCAGGTTTTTTAAAGCTTCCTAAAGGATTCTGATGGACAACCAGATATGGGAACCACCTGGTGTTAAAGGGAAACTTTTATGGTTATAAAACTTTTCAAACAAAAAGGTACATTTCCTTTTTATTAGCCATGAAGTAAAGCATCTTTCAAGCTAAATTACATTATACTTATTACATGATACACAACCACTAAACCAGTTTTCAAAAAAGACAAATTTCATATTTCAATTTATTCAGCAAGGAAACATCAAAAATAAATAATGAAGGTCTTTCCCCTCCCCCTTCCCCATTCCTTAAATTTATGTTTAAACCTGATATATATTTTGTAACACTAAAGTTATAGCTTTTTCTGCACTAGTGCTTTTTAAGATAATGATTATGAATACAACTAATTCTAGAGAACAGGAAATAAACACTTTCACCTGCTGGTTTCTAGCTCATTATCTCCTTTGTTATTAGGATGATAATGTTATAGAGATTAATGTTTCGGTATAAACTGCAGATACAATTTTAACATTTTCCATAATCTTGAGAAATTTTTTAGTATTATATAATCAGAAAATCAATTCAAAATACACCTATACATATCTTACAAAAATACACTTAAAAACACGAACAGGAAACCTTCTAAATACTGGGCCATTACTACTCTGAAGGTGAGCTGGCATTATGAAGAGACCTTAACTCCTTTATCTTTCTCAGGATATTCTTCCACATCAGAGGAGAACATCAACTCTAGGAGAGAAATGAACAGATCATACTCAAAATGGTTTCCTAGTACCTCAAAAATAGTTTTATAGCTTAGTTATAAAAGTTCTCTTAAAATATTCACATACTATATAAAAATAGCCCTCAAGAACAAATAAGAATTATTGATAGTAAAATGTGATTTAAAAGGTGAGTTAATGACAAATGTACCAGTTTTACATTTTAAAATGTTCAAGTTTTAAATGTATTGTAAACCCCTGAAAAATACAACATATCTATAACAGAGACAATATAACTCTCACCAGGAAATTTACTCACTTAGAGAAGCCAGGACCATTAAACAGCTGAAAGGTCTAATTCTGCAGTGATCATGATAACCTAACAGGCAGGGGACAGACGTAGAGGAAAGACTTGGAACTAACATCAGCTATGTGCCAAGATATCTTAAATGTGTTACCCATTTAACCACCAAAACAACCCAATAAGCTAGGTGTTATCATCCTCATTTTATATTTACTTTTTTTATCCACATGGAAATAAAATGTTATATGACTCACATGCCCTAAAGGAGAGCAGGATTCTGGAAATATGTAGTGAGTGATAGCCACGTGGTGATACAGACTGAATACTGTGCAAGGCAGTGGGATGCAACTTCACTCCCAACCACAGTGCAGAACGTTATCAGCTGACATTTCTACATGTAAACCATTACTTAGCAGAGACACATAATTTATCAAAATGCCAAGAAATACAGAAAAAGAAAACCTTAGGAATCCAGTAAAATAAAGTCCTCTGATGTAAGTATTAGATGAAAAATTCTTTGAATGACTAAAAACTATAGTGAAAGAAAAACAGCAAAATATATAAAGCCTGAGAAGATTTAAAAATATAGTCGAAATACATCAAAAGGAATAAAGTAACAGGATGGTCAGTGGAGCAACATGAGAATTACAATGCAAAAAGGTACACTCATGAATGAAAATACAAAAGATTACATTTTTTTGTCTTGGTTTATACAAATGGAAATGTTCGGCAGATTCTCAATTCTAAGACTTCTAAGATCATGCGCTGTAATTACTTGATCAAATTGTGGTTAATGCTCAGGATGTTTAACAAACCAAGAATACAATAATAACCAAAGCCCAGAAAATATCAAAGAGATCCCAGGGTGAAACTGTGGCACACCCACCAAGGAAAAAAGACTTAGAATACAAGCACTGAGCGGTTCCCAGAGCAGCGCTGACGACAGCAGCTTGCTAAGAAGATTCCTCCTCTTCAGGCGCTCCAAAAGGGGCCTGTGGACTCGAGACCAGGAACCCTCGCTGCACCCTGGGCACACTAAAAGGAGGATTACTAAACGCTTCCTTACACAATGAAGGTAGAGGAGGAGAATAATTCACTTGAATGTGTCTGACAGGCTGCATGGGTGAAGAGACGTTGAGAAGCAAAGAGCAGGGGCTTCCTATAAAATACTTGAAGGGTCCTAGGAGAAGAAATAGCTCCTAAGTACGCACAGGGGCCGCAGAAGCGCCCCCTCATTAAGCACTTGGAGACTCCAGCTCTCCCACACGTGCCTCCTGCTTCTCTTGGCATTCTGTTTTACCACTGGATTTTCATTCTTCTTTGTTATCTTATTTAAATGTCTTTGTTATCAGAATATTATAAGCTATATCCATTAGAAGGAGATTTATAAAATCACTATAGAAGATTTCATGATACTCTTGGACTATTTTTCTTTAATACCTTCACTGAGATCCATGCCTGGCCTATAAGACAAAAAAAGCCAAGATAATCCAACCAGAAGGGCCACCACCAGGTTCACCACAATCCATGGCTGCAGAACCTGCTCCTCGAGTCCTTCTGCCCTGAGGAGACAGAAATGCTCATCAGAAACGTCTTCATTTTGATTTATATATCCAAATACAGCTATATCTATTTTATGAACTTTAAAAAAACATCAGTCCTCACCAGAGGAATAACAAATAAAGCATGAAATAAAATATAATTTCCCTATGAAATACACCATAAATATACCATGAGCACAAAGGTTATTGAACTCTAAACAGATCTGCTTGCACACTGATGGAAATGGAAATTTAGTGTTGCCAAAACTTTTCTCTAAGTTTCCCTTCCAACTACGACAGTGCTCCTCTTGAGTGAAGTATCTTCCTTTCCTCTCTTTACCTCAGGCTCCTAGCCACTCTCTCAGAAAGACTGCCCCTCTGAAATCTCGGCCATCCTCTCAGCTCCACGGCGGGCCCTATCTGCCCAGGCTGGCTCTCCCCAGCCTCCTCTTCCTGGCTCGCTTGGTTCTGACTCTGTCCCAGCTCCCCACTGCCATCACTGTTCTGGGGTATCAGGCTCACTGACGGGGGGCTGCAGGGCTCCTCCAGTTCATCGCCTAATGACTTATTTTAAAACCATAACTTAAGAGATTTAAAACAGATTTGTAAAAAGAAGACATCTCTTTTAAAATGCAGATGTGTATAACAATAGTTATCCATTAACCAATGGAATAGGTATTTTCTTGGTATAATTGTGGAAACAGGAAACAGGCCTTCATTATTATTTATAGATGAAAACACATAAGAGAGCGAAAGGATAGGAATATACCAGTACTCCCACTGTTGCTGTTATTGCCATCACCAATCGCTGATGCTACTGTGAATTCTTACCAGAGGCTCCCATTAACAGAAGAAGGTGTGTACAGGTGGATTCTGTCACTGGTCATTTGCTGACTCAGAGATAGTACGAGAGCAGTAAAGTACACTGAGAAAAAGACAGATGAAATTACTAACAATGTATTGTTAACAACTCAATTTATTTTGAATTTGTAGATTATTATAAGGTCAAAAATAATCTGTACTTTGGGGAATGATGATACAAAGGAAATTCATTCGATTAATTTCAGTAGGTTAGATAGCCTTATATTATTTTTCACTATTATCTATATAATCACTATATAATCACTATCTATATAATAGTGAAAAATAATATATATTTATATATTATATTATAAATTCTAAGTATTATAAATATATAATAATATATATTTCACTCTCCATTAGTGAATGCTCACTACTTCATCATTAGAATTGACAAGACCTAGAAGATCTTTTAAGAAATTAAATGACTTACTCAAGGTCCTAAAACTAGTTTTATTAATATTCTCATATCTTAGAACAAAATGCATTCCAAATTATCAAAGAGATATAAAATAGTATTTGTTACTGAAATGCCATACCAGGTGAATCTGTTTAATGTCAAGTAGAAAATACAGAAGCTAAAAATTAAGTAATACAGAACAAATTAAACTTTTAAAATTTATTTAGATCAACCTCTATTGAAAAATAATTCTATTAAAATTATGCCCACCATGTTTTTTCAAATTACAAATTCCACTGAACAGCTGTAAGTAATGTTTGTAAGTAGCAACAATGTAAAATCTTTTTAAAAATAAAATTATACTTTTCCTGGTTCAAAATTACAATGTAACAGAAGTGTAACACAGTCATCAAATTAAACTATTTACTCACAGAAAGATGCTAAAGCTGTTGGCTCCAGGGCAAGGAAATTTCGGATTGCCACTGATGTTTTAGCCAAGTCGATCCTATAAAACACAGAAGTCTCATGTACGGCGGAGTTATAACTTTTTACAAAACTGTGCTCTCTTGACTCTAGCTTTTTCCTTCTCTGTTCCAGTGCTACCACATATATTGCCTATTACCAAGCTTTAAGTAGCTACAGTTTATACTTAATACATAAAAGGAGATCTTATTTACAAAGGCTACATAAAACATTTGACTAGAAGACTATTCCTTTGGAGGTAAGAGAGTCTGAAGAGACAAATTAAGCTTGATCTGCAAAATTCCATTAGATTCTACTTCTATTACTCACAGCATTGGGCTGTAAATTGTTATTTTTCTCAATGGGCTGAATTGTGTTCCCAAAAAGATATGTTAAAATCCTATGCCTGGTACCTGTGAAGGTGACCTTAGGTGGAAACAGGGTCTTTGCAGATGTAATCAAGTTAAAAGGAGGCCATGAGAATGGGCCCCAATCCAATAGGACTGGTGTCCCAATAAGAAAGGAAGAGGCAGAGACACAGGGAAGACAGCCAAGTGACAACAGTGGCAGAGATCGGAGTGATGCTTCTACAGACCAAGGAATCCCAGCAACCCCTGCAAGCTGGAGGAGAGGCACAGAATAGACTCCCCCCAGAGCCCGCTAAAATGGAGCCCACTTTGCTGGCGCCTTGATCTCAGACTCCCGGCCTCCAGAACTGCGAGAAAGTGATTTTCTGTTGTTTAAGACCCCCAGGGTGTAGTACTTTGTCACAGCAGCCCTAGGAAACTACCACAACACTCAGCGTCTCACCTATACCTGGTTCAGATCATCTGGAAGATGGTGTTTGGGACTTTTTTGAGTTGATTATATTTGGATGAAATTTTGGACTTAGAGTTGATGCGGGAGTGGGTTGAGACTTTGGGGGATGTTTTTGTTTACAGTACTCTCATCCCCCAAAAAAGAACAGAACAGCCTGGCTTAAAAAAGAGTCAAAATAATATTAATATCCTATAATTTGATTCTGAAAACTGTCATCGTCAGTGACACTTTCTCAACACTTCCTCCTGAAGGAAAGTTGGAGGGACATGCGGTCACAACAGTCTTACCTGTCAAATGCCGAAACTGTACTCAGAGCCAAAAGCAAGTAGAGAAGACTCTGGAATGGATAGGCTAAGGTCTTGTATTGTTGCAGGAGGTTTGAGAGCTCAGAAAGCTGATCTCCTGCTAGGACATAGATCACAACTATATTCCACACGGCACAGCCAGCCAGGAAGCCATGAGAGAAGAGACCAATCATCCTGAACGGAGAAGCGCTCAGTTATCATACACGAATTACCAAAGGAAAAAGCTAAAATATTTCCTAAATCTCTTCACTTACATTACACTTCAACATTTCACAAAAAGTAAAAAAGGGAGCTTTTTCTTTTTTACAACAATGATAGGCAGATCATTTAACTCCAACTGAATGTTTAAAAAATATACCTACCTACCATTTTAAGTTGTCAATTTTGTTAACAGCATTGAACAATCAACACGTTTTTCTTTAAATTAGGGAACATCTGTTTTAAGAAAAGTCCAACCTGAAAGCCCGGTGCACTGAGAGCGCGACGTCTCTGGTCGTCCAGCAGGGCTTCCCGTCCACGGACACGTCTATGTGTTCTGTGGTCTTTATCAACTCCGAACGGTCAGCAGCCTGGAATCGCCCTAAGAACACATCACACAACTATCAGAACTAACCAGAGGGGACCCTGGCAGTCTTTTTACTATTCCACGCTTAAGAACCGTTAGACTGAGACTGAAATCTTGCTGTTTTTCTATCTAAACATCCTCCCTGATCCAGTTCCTATTTCAGAAGGCTCTTTTCTTTTGGTTGCTTAAGCATACTATTTTTTTATCTTTAGGAAAAATAAACAATCTCCATGCACTTTCTTCTCAACCCAAAACAGATGTCTGCGTAAGTTTTTAGAAATCAATTATACTGAATGAAATACAATAATGAACTGTCAACTCAGAAAAAGGTCTAGGAAGCTTTAACATGACATAGTCTGAAAAATTCTAATTTAGAGACTTTAAAGGCATTCAAGTTTAAATGCCAATGTTATAAAGGCAAGTCAATATTTTAAAACACTTTCATTTTCTTAGGAAAAGATGCCAATGTGTGTAGCACGGCGGTCTGTGACGACAGAAAGAAATGGGTTATTTCATAAACTTCTCTGAAGAAGCTGCCTGTGAGGAGCATCAGTTCCAGTGTCGGCACCACAACACTGCCTGAGCCGAGCTCTGCCCTCTCACTGTCCACAGGAGGCTCCTTCTCGTCTGTCTACCATCCACAAAGGGACCTCAGGAAGCAGGAAAGCTTCCGTTTCCATCATCCTTGCCAAACCTGGTGCCAGGCATCTTGGAGAATGAAAGACAGGGGTGTGACACCTAATTTTTCCCTAAGAAAAAACAACTTCTAGGGGCCAGCCGGTGGCGCAGCAGTTAAGTGCACACGTTCTGCTTTGGCAGCCCGGGGTTCGCCAGTTCGGACCCTGGGTCCGGACATGGCACTGCTTGGCAAGCCATGCTGGGGTAGGTATCCCACATATAAGGTAGAGGAAGATGGGCATGGATGTTAGCTCAGGGCCGGTCTTCCTCAAAAAAAAAAAAAAAAACAAGAACAACTTCTAGGCAGGCAATTAGTATCTATTCTGGTCAGTTACTCTAGTAGGGAGGTTTCCAGAAGGGAAGCAAGAATAAAAATGAGGAGCCAGCCCCAATGGCCTAGAGGTTAAAGTTTGGTGTGCTCTGCTTCAACAGCCTGGGTTCAGTTCTCGGGCGCAGAACGATACCACTCATCTGTCAGCAGCCATGCTGTGGTGGCAGCTCACACAGAAGAACCAGAAGAATCTACAACTATACACCACTATGTACTGGGGCTTTGCAGGGGGCGGAGAAGGGAAGAAAAAAGGAGGAAGATTGGCAACAGATGTTAGCTTAGGGCAACTCTTCCCTTGAAAAAAAAGAATAACAATCAGGATTGAGTGACATTGCTTGAAATCAGACTGAAGTAAATTAAACAGCCACATGGTACACTAGTAAAAGCCCTCGATTAGGTCAGGTTTCCCAACGACCAACAACTCCAAGATCCCTTAGAAAGGATCTTATGGAATCAGAATTTTAAAACAATTTACATAAAATCTAAATTGTAAATATTAAGACTCATCTTTCTGTTTCAGATGAGTTCCTCAGGCAGCATATTCATAGCATATCCGGGGGGTTCTATATGGTCATGATCCTGCTTTCAGTGGGTTTTTCTTAAACACTGCAAACGCAGTCTTATAACCAATGCATGCTATATAATGTCAGAACTATTTTCCAAAAGAATATACAGCTACAGTATTGTATTTCTTATTTAATGTGATGATACCATCATGTAGTTTCTCTCATTAATTTTTTTTTAAAGATTGGCACCTGAGCTAACATCTGTCACCAATCTTTTTTTCCCCCCTTTTCTCCCCAAAGCCCCCCAGTACATAGTTGTGTATTTTTAGTTGTGGGTCATTCTAGTTGTGGCATGTGGGATGCCACCTCAGCATGGCCTGATGAGCGGTGCCATGTCCGCACCCAGGATCTGAACCGGCGAAAGTGGGCTGCCGAAGTGGAGCACATGAACTTAACCACTCAGCCACAGGGCCAGCCTCTCTCATTTATCTTTAATTATAGAACTTATATCATTACCTGCCACACTACCAACACCACTACCAGTTGCAGAAAACTGGTAAAGTACAACAAAGAATAAAGAAATAGGTGGGAGTAGGGGTAGATTTTTAAAATTACCCATTATCCCACAACCCAGAAACAAGCAGCATTAATATTTTGGCACATTTCCTTCGAGTCTTTTGTCCTATGCATTTTTCTATACTTGAGATCAAACTACGTGTATGTGTATCTTTATTTTTCACAAGAACCTTTCCACGGAATGAAAAATTCTCCCTGAGCATCTGTGATGGTGCAGAAGATTTTCTTGTACAGACGCGCGTAACTGACCGAACTCACTCTCCTCCTGTTTTACATCCAGGTTGTTTCCAGTTTTTTGGTCTCATGAATAATGTGTCATGACTAGCTTTGTATATAAATTTTTGTCTATGTTTTTCCTTATTTCCTTAATTCAGATTTCCAGAAGTATAATTCCTAGGTCAAAGGCTATCCTTGCATAATTCTTACAGAGCTCATGATCCAAAACAAGGAACCACTTACGGCTTTTTTCCACAAACACTTTGCCTACAGGCTGGCTGACGCCAGTGGGTGCAGTGAACACGGCCTGCTGTTCCGGGCTACTCTGCTCGTCAGTAATTATGTCTTCATCTTCTACTCCTAGCTCGTTGGCATACTGTAATTCCGCTGGCTGGGTCTTCCTGTAATCAGGGAGAAGGTAAGAAAAATGGATGGTTATTGAGTTTTTACAGACCCACATGAGGAGGTGCCTGTGAGTATAATGGGCAGAGCCCTGGACCTGGAGTCGAGAAATGTAGTTTTTACTCAAATGGATGCGTTATCAACTGTAATGTGTGGCAAGTCACCTGTATTTCTGTGGGCCTCAGCTTTTTCATGTGGAAAATGAAGTGACTGCACTAGATTTGTAAGGTTCTTTCCAGCCTTAAGATCATAGGAGTCTATATAGATATTGATCCCTATTTGTAGGGTTATTTCCAAGTATGAATATTGTTATATAACTTGTAGGGTACTTCTTTAAAGTATGCCATTCTATTTTATCTGAGACTTAATTTCCTATGCTAAAATGCACATTTTTATTTATTGCTGAAATAATAATCTGAATTGCTAACATGAGAATAGAAGTCGCAATAGCCCATTAATATTATCCTTAATTTTTTGCTACTTCTATAAAATCTTCTGTCTCCGTCTTTTTTAGAGACAAGTAAGATTTTTTAAGTACAATATTTTACTTTTCTCAGTGGTTTACTCTTCAAATTTATCATTAGATTGGTTTAACTGATATTTTTCTAACACTCTTATCCTAGAGCTGTACCAGCATGTAGTAAGACTTGATCAGAAGCCACTGTTTGGGAGCTCTGAATCCAGCATCAGGGCATCCTTTGGACTATCTAGACGGACAAATAAATTCTTACTTTGTCTTCCTTCGAGGTTTTTGAGTCACTGGCTCCTCAGCTGGCTCCACATTGAGACCATTTTCATTTCGTAACAAAGATGGACTGGATGCCTTTTTCTGGGTGGAAGCAGTTTCCAACTCTGAAAATAAAAAGTAGATTAAGTTTTCAATCACTATAATGTAAAAAGAAAAGTAATGTACAAGACTTCCGTAAGACAAAAGAACTTTAGGAATTTCAATTGGGCCAAAATTCTTACAAACTTTTAATTTTTAAAATTTTATACCTCTAAATGCTCAACAGAAAATCTGAACTTGCAATGCCAAACAATATGGAAAAAAATGAAGTAATCCAACACCCAGGGTGTCAGAGATCTCCACGATTTCCTCCAGGTTCTGTGATTCGCTCAAAGGACTCACAGACACACAAGTCATCAGACTCACAGCCACGGTTCACTACAGCGAGAGGACAAAGCAAAACCAGCAAAAGGAAAAACCTCATGGAGCAAAGTCCAGAAGAGACCAGGCCCGAGCTTCCAAGAGGCCTCTATCAATGGAGTCGCAGAGGATGTGCTAATTCCTCCAGCAGTCGGTTGGGACAACACATGTGTCGCTTTCTCTACCAGGGAAGCTCACCAAGGTTTCCACTGGGGGCTGGTCACACAGGCACCCCCTGCCTAGCACGTGCCCAAAGTCCGAACTTGCAGAAGGCAAGCAGGCGTTCAGCAGGCATCAGCACGTGCACAAACGCACAGTGAGCCACCCTGTAAGTCAGGGGAAGTTTTCCATCAGCGTCGGGAGCTGTTTACCAGCCCAATTCCCAGACACCAGTAAGGAGGCCACCAGCCTCGCAGGCGGGCCTTTCCAAGGATGACAGGCGCAGGCCTGCTATGTCAACTCTTTTCTGCACACAAGGTATTAAGCTGAAGCGAGTCAATGGAGCTTTCTAATCTACTAGCTACTCTTCCTATCTGGAAATACTGGCAACGGCTCCCGGGAATGTCCTCAAAGCCCCTAGAATTCTATTTAAAAAAATACTGACAGCCTAGAAATATAAGCCGTAGAGCCTACCATAATCATCCAGAACAAAACAAAACAAAAATCAAACAAAATCAAAACCCAGTGAGAATGCACGGTGGGTGCGTTCTAGAATGGCAGTGACAGCTGCTCTTTGGCCCAGAACTTAGATGGGTCCTCAATTTTCTAAAAAAGGTCAAGTCATTTCTGTAAATACATTTTCACAAATTATAAAATTTAGGTATTGCTATCCATCTTGATTTTCAAATTTGTACCCTAACTGAATTACTAAGAGGGTAGTTTTAAGTCAACTATATTTACTGCCAGTAATGAAATAAATGGTAGAGCGGGTAAAAAAAAAGCAAGTGTCTTTTTTCTAGTGATTATAAAAGGCTTGCATATTCAATATATGAAAAATTAGTAAAATATAAATGGAAAAGGAAAAAAATAAAAACATCAGTAGTTCCTCCTTCTAAAAAACCTACCACTGCTAACACTTTGCTATACCCTTCCACCCTTTTTACCATACATCTGTGTGTATATACGTATGTTCTGGTTGAACCGTGTCTCCCCAAAAAGATATGCTCAAGTCCTAACCCCAATACTCGTGAATGAGACTTTAGAAATGGGGTCTTTGCAGATGTAATCCAGTTAAGATGAGGTCATGCTGGATTGGGATGGGTCCTAAATCCAATGACTGATATAAGAAGAACAAAATTTGAACACAGAAACACAGAAAAACGTGAAGAAGGAGGCAGAGAATGGAGTTATGCTGCCATCAGCCAAAGAACGCCAAGGATTGCCCACAACCACCAGAAGCTAGCAGAGGAAGGACGGATTCTTCCCTAGAGCCGTCGGAGGGAACATCACGGCCCTGTGGACATGATTTTGAACTTCTATGCTCCAGAACTGTCAAAGACTAAATTTCTGTTGTCTTAAGTCACTCAGTTTGTGGTAATCTTTTATGGCAGCTGTAGGAAATAAACACAACATATTTTATAAAAATGGGATCCTTTGACACATGTGACTTTATATGCAGTCTTTGTTTTTGACTCAACAATATACTACTGATGGTTTTCTATGTCACTGTTTCACTTTAACCAACATTTCAATGGTTATCTGGTTTCTATCAAATGGATAAACCATGATTTATTTAGCCCATATCAAATTGTTAATATTTGGTTAGTACCAGCTTCTACTCTTATAAATAATATTGCAGTTAACATCCTTTAGTTACTGTAGCCACTGTAGTGACTTCCATTCCTAGAACTGCAGACAGGCTAAACCACCTTACACTCCTATCAGCAGTGCAGGAGTGTACCCATTTCTCATCAACACTTCTATATCCAATGCTTTTGGGTTTTATAATTTTTAAAAGGCACTGCCAATTTGATAGGCAAAATTAATGAAATAGTATTGCTTACCTTGTGAATACTGACTGAGACATAGCAAGACTCAATAAATGTTGGCTGTAGATTCATTGTGTTATTGTTAATAATAATAACAATATTAATTAACAACTCTGTTAACAGAATCTATCCTTTTCCCACTAATCTCAAATGTTTATTTCATCATATACCAAATTCTTATATACATCAAGATCTAAACTTTTTGTTTTAGTCCTGAATTTATACATCTTCCCTCATAATCTATACACATATGATCAAGAGAGACCCTCTAAAGTGTTCTTGACTTAACCCATTGGAGTTACTCTAGGGATAAAAATTTTAAGCAAGCAAGAAAAAAATGGGATATGGGTGAGGAAAAATGGGGACAGACAGGGTTTTAATCATACTCCCCAAATCACAGCCTAACCTTGGTTTCTCTACATACCGAGAGGCGGCCTCGTCTTCTTCTGTCTCCTTTGAATAGGAGCGTCTGGGTGTTCTCTGGGGTCTTTAGTTGGCGGCGCGCTGCCCTCAGAGGGCCTGTGAACAGCAGTCTGAACAAGGCCTTCCAGAGAAGCACTAGCTACAGAAAACACGTGGGGAAAAACGGGACAACCTGAGTAGAGGTCACTGAGTCTTAAAAAGATGGGGAAAAGGCAACTGGACTGTCTCCTATAGAATAACCCCTTCTCTTACAGAACTGAGTGTGCCCCAAAGCTTGACTTCCTTCCTCCTCACCTGTAACTTTGGTCTTTAAGCTGAGAAAATAAATAAATGAGGGAACAAGGAAGATGAGGAAGAAAGAAGGCCGGGGGGCTAGAAAGAAGAACAAAGGCAGGCAGGGAGGAGAAACTGCCTCAGAACTTTCAAAAAGATGAAAACACAGCAGAACTTTCACCATAGAGAACTCTTTTTGTGTCGTGCCTTAAGATTTCTCAGCCTCTTATAGTTTAGTCCTTCATTAACAGATTAACGCATGATAAGGTCATCATGGATAACTGGAGTTGACAGATAATTTATAAATCTCTTCATTTGGTCATTCATTTCAGTCTCTCCCCTCCCCTCATCAAATCTGTGACCAGATTTTGACACATTTTGGCAGACTGAATTTTCCTTGACTACATTCCCTTGACTGTCTTCTTCACAAAGGAAGAAATATAAATCTATTAATAAACAAATGAAAAGATGCTTAACCTCATTAGCATTCAGAGAAATGGAAACTAAAATAAGCTTTTTGCCCACTAGATCACCAAAAAAATTTAAAAGACTGATATTGTCCAGTGTTGTCAAGGATTTAGCTAACGTGACACTTAAACACTGTTGGTGCCGAGAAAATAACTAAAGCTTCCTTGAAGGCGGTTGAGCAGAATCCATCTCCTACCAACGCACAGGTCCTCGGTCAGGCAATCTCACCACTGGCGAGCCATCCTACAGAAACACCTCTTCCTCCCCCCACCACCCACCATTGTACGTAGAGCTGCAAAATTGTAGGAGTGAAACATCTGAAGTAACCTAAATGGACAATTTAAATGAAAGCCTAGCAATATATCCCCTTTTTGGTCCGGGACACTGCATTCTTTTTCTCTTTTTTATAAGGAGGAAGACTGTAGCTGGGATAGCCACACCTCTCCTCCCCCAACTCTGTCTTTCTTGCACCCTCGCTGTGACCTTTCTAAGTCCACATGTACGTGTCTACAATTAACTGTGGTGTATTTTCAGAGCCCAGCATTTCAGTGAGTATCTTTGTGAATCTAAGTCTCTTTGCATCTCTTTTCTTTTTGTTCTGTGTCTATGTCTTTCCCGCTCTACGCATCATCTCCATTTCTTTCTTTTTCTCCACCCACCGTCTATTCCTCCATTTGTTAGGCAATGATAAGCCAATGTAAGTTTCTGACAGGTGGAAGGCATGAAGAGCTACGAGTTCATTCAAGCAGCTCACCCAGCAGTAGTGGGCAGGACCAACCGGAGTGGAGGAAAGTTAGAAGTACAGGGCAATGTTGGAGGCCACCTCAACAGCTCAGGGAGAAGAGGGAAGGAGCTAAACTAACTACAGTTGTGACAGTGGAGAGGAAAGAGGAAAAGAGACATAAAAGATACCACAGAAGAAGTCAGCTTGTGAAGGTCAGCAGGAGAGTGAAGGGACCAGTTAGAGGGCTGACTCTGAGGTTTCCAGCTTGAGTGACTGGGAGAGTGGGGGGTTCCATTAACAGAAATTTGTGAGTGAGAAGTAAAAATTGATCTATTGTTAAAGGTGATGATGAATTCTGGATGTGCTGAGTTTGAGATGCTGATAGAACATGCAGGATTATTAGCAGATAACGAAGAGAAAAAGGAGTTCGTAGAACTTGCTCATTATTGCAGCTTCACCACTTAGATGATATGGCCCTGCCTTCAGACTCACGCTCTTCCACAGAGATTCTCTGACTGAAAGGAGGGATCCAAGAGCCTTAGGTCTCTAAATCCAGTATCCTGCTCAAGGGTCTGGAACCAATCATAGCTTGAGACAACTTATGTTATCTAGGGAAAAAACACCTCAAAGAGTCCAAGAATGTTGTGGAAGTAAGAGTTTAGGTGGCACAACCCTTTATTCCATGAATGTTTCTAGACACTCTCCAGGCTGTCCCGCATTGTCCCTCACTGTCACCACGAATGCTACTGCTTCAAAGTGACCTTGACTCTAACCTCAGCACAGCAGGGACTTGGGACTGCTGAGGCCTTGCCTCTCCCTGATCTGTGATGTTTACCATACCTGAGGTTCTGGAAAAGCTTGTGATCCCACACAACCAAGAACAACTTCTCACCTAGCGTGGTTTTTGCTCTGGGCTTCTTTTTCTTAGGACGACTAAGGGGAATATCATCTATAAAACAGAAAGAACAACAACAGAAAAGGCTGCCTAAAATTCAATGCAGGGAACAGTCAAAAGGGTACTTTTAGGAGGGAAGACCTTTCTCTCTCTTCCCTGGGTCCAGCCAACTTCTACATATTAGGGAAGAAGGCAAGAAACTGACAGAGAGCCCACAGTGTGGTGCCAGTAGCTCACTGCTTGTAGTGATGTTAGAAAGTGGGCTCACCAACTATTCCCAGCCCCCTTGCCCTTAGGTATGGCCTATGACTGCTTCTGGCCAACAGACTGCGAGCAGAAGTGATTTGTGTCATTGTGGGGCCAAAACACTGAAAGAGCCAGGGAGTAACCCTCCAGCTTTCTCTTCCCTTGCTGTGGCCACTGAGAAAGCCTCCTGTTAAGATGGCAGAACCACACGATGGAAGGAGCTTGAATCACTACGTCAGTGGTGAAGAGGTGGTGAAAGGCGGCTGCCCTGGATTGTGGCCTCAATGGACTTTGCATTAACCAGAAATAACCTGGTCTGATATTAAGTCACTGAGATTTTGGGATTAGTGCAACATAACCCAGTCTCTCCTGGCTAAATGAGACCGGGAAGACGCAGTCCCTAATACAGAACTATAAACAGGCCAACAGTAGGTTCTAGGTGACTCCATTAAGGGATGAGTGTTTTTATTTTTGCGAGGTCAAATATCAACCACATAACTAGTGTTATATATCAACCATCATTAAAAAATGGCAGTCACAGGAGATTATGATAAGAAGATATTGTACTATTATAAATTATACCATTCAGACTCAAATTTAAGAGAAACATTAAGGAATCAAACTAACTTTTGAAGAGCAAATACTACATTTAGAAAGTTTTACATTAACAGTGAACTAACTCACCTTGAATAGCACTTCACATGACACCAACCAAATTTAATCAGGACAAAGACAAAAAAAGAAACTATTAATTAGAAGTCTACTATATTGTCAGACTGAAATTTGACTTAAATGATTACAAATTTAAAATAAAATTAGCTTTCATACAAAATCAGTTAGTTTACAAACTAGCTTATTATTTATAAGTAATAAGCTATTTAGTAAGACTGCTAATAAAATAACCCCAAGATTTTCTGAACCTACATATACATATTCCCTACTGTCTATTAATAAAGTGGATTACGCAGATTAAGAACTCTTATTTTGTCACTGATTAAAATCAGCTTAAACTCTGGGGAAACTATTCTAGCAAACAAAAGAGGATCAGAATTCTGATAAACAAGACACAGATTCAGACTGTATCGATCACCCTTCCAAGCTGACGTTAGGCTCTGAAACATTTAATTAAAACTGTTATCCTAATGACTCAAGGACCTTTCACCTTTAAACTCTCAGGAAGCCTTTTGTAAAATTGTCAAGAAGTCTTTTCTGAATTATTATAATTTTGCAATTGTACTATTTTTTCACTTTATTCATTTTGTGTTTTTAAAACTCAGTAATAAAATTATTGTAAATCACCATTACCTTGGCACAGGTGGAAGGGCTCGTGGAGGACGCTGTGGGGAAAAGAAGAAAATCGCTTGTAAGAAAAGCCTTAGAGCATCTCTGCTCCACGGATGTCAAATCTTTCGACGACGCTGTTCATCAGGTGAAACCCAGGAGATACTGATGAGCCTCGGGGCAATTTTAAATTTGTTCCCCCATTTCTAAATGTCATGTAAAATTCCTTCCTTCCTACGTTCCTGTCTATCTACAGGCCAGACCCTCTTCTAAGCATTAGGAATATATTAATGAGCAAAACACAGAGATCCCTGCTTTTGTGGAATTTACACTCTAGAGGCTAAGTATTGGAAGATAACATTAATATACGTATTGCCATATGTATTACTATAGTAACATGTATGTATTACCATGTATGTTACTATATTAATATATGTGTGTATAAATAGTAGTAAGTGAGGGAGCATGAGCAGTGCTCCCTCAGGAAAAGTCTCTCTGAGATATTTGAGCTGAGACCTGAATACGAAAGGAGCCAAAGAGGAGCAAACACGAAGGCTTTAGGGAAGACTGGGGGTGGAGCATTCCAGATAAACGAAGGCCGTAAGGCTGCAGGAGTTGCCTCCGCAGCGGCCAGACTAAAACCGGGGTCTTGAAGACCACGGGAAGGAGTCTAGATTTTGTTTTAATCCAATGGGAAGCCAACAGAGGCTTGAAGCCACACAGTAACATACTTTTTTAAAAGATCACTCTGAATACAGAGTGAAGAATGCATTTTAGGGCAGAAAGAATTTTTTAAAAATCTTATAAATGCTACTTTATATAAATGAATAAGAAAAGTTGTGTTTGCAGTTCAGAGAAATTACAGTTAAGAAGCATTCGGAAATCTTTCCAAATAGAACACTAACAGAAGGCCTAGAAATCGGTTTATTAACGTTCCAACTATCTCAAAGACACTGATTCAAAAGGGATTCTACGACTGCCCCATTTAGCAATCCATTCGTTCAAACAATGTATCAATACAAATGCTACAAGACTAGGACAAGGCAGGCTGTCTTACTGCTATCCAGTAGTCAAAATTCGACCGGAAAGAACGACAGCCACAGGAAAGCGCTGTCGTCCCAAAGATGCTGAGGACGGCGTCTATCCGAGCACTGAGTTCACACGGTAACGCCACGTTTCCAAAGTCCCGCAAAAAATGACGTGTGACCCATCCAGAAACCCAACCTCTACGCCCCTCAAATGTAGGACGGCTCAAGTGAACACAAATCCTAGCAACTCAAAAGGCCCGCTTACCACCTGCTTCTTCCCCATCCCGTCTACAGCCGGCTCACCGCGGCCGCCGGCTCCCGGGCGCTCGCCCCGCCCCGCCCCGCCCCGCCCCGCCCCCGGCCGCGCGCAGGCGCAGTGCATCACCGGGCTGGGTCACCGGGCTGCGCCCCCCGGACGCTCGGGCCTGCGGCCTCCACCGCGCGCGGCGGGAGCGCGGGGCGCAGGGCTGGTCTTCCCGGGCGGCCCCTGCGGACGAGGGAGCGTCGGCGTCGGGGCTGGCGCGCCCGGGACGGGAGACGCCAGCGGGCGGGGAGCGGCGGTCCCGGTTTGGGCCCTGTTTCCCAGCGGGCGCGGGGATTTGTTGGCGGGAGCGAGGGGACCACGAAGAGAGGTCCCCGCGGGCTACCGGCGGCTCCTTCCGGGCGGCTGAGGCCTCCTCCGCGAGGAGGCAGCCGGAGGCGGCGCCATGGCAGCGTGCGCTCAGGCCCCGGGAACCGCACGCCCGCTCCCCCGCCCCCCGGCCCCAGGAGCTCGGGCCGAACCTCCGGCCCCCGCCCGGTCCCGGGGGCGCCAGGGGCCGGTGCGCGTCCCGGGGCGGGGCTCTCCCGGGTTCCCGGCGCGTCGGCCGCGGCCCCACCCGGGGAAGGTGCCGTCAGGGCGGCGCCCCCGCCCGCGCTCACCTGGGGGCCCTCCTCCGGCCCGCGCCCCGAGTCGGCCCTCATGGCGCGCCCCCGCAACCGCCGCCGCCCGCCCGAGCCCGGGTCCACGGCAGGCGAGCCCCGCGGCCAGGTCTCCGCCCCGCGCAGCCCCGGTTCCAGCGTCGGAGGCGGGCACCCGCGCGGCGCGGTTCGCACGCACGTGTGCGGCGTGTGTGTTGACACGGGCCGTTCTCGAGTTTCCTCCCGTTGCCTCCCCGCCGTCCCACAACTGTGTCAATCAAGTTTGGGAAACGTTTTCCTCGAGCACAACATGAAGTCAAATCCGGGCTCACGTAAACATCATTAAAAATGACCTAATTTTCTTCGTTTTGTTTGGTTGGGTTTTTTAGAAAGATAACATTCACTTTAAATTTTGAAAACTGCAAGTATTTTGAAGCACGCACTATTTTATAGTTAAAGCGGTGGAGGGATGGTGTGGAGACGGAGAAAGTTGAGAATGATGTAGGAGATAGAGAGAGGCAGGAGGAGCGACTGGAAGTCTCAGACCTAGGGAAGAGAAAAACAAGACTGGAGAAACGTCCTCCTCTTGTGGTTTTCTCAGATATTGGGCTCCAGGACCGCAGTCCCTTCTCCCTTCCTAATTTAGGCATAAATGTAGATACTGGCTTTTAGGAAAATTGATGACTTACAGCTCTGATCAGAAGACTTTTTTCCTTGTAGCCCTATGTGTAGAATGATGGGGCCAAGTGCAGTTTCTGCAGGTCTTGACGTTAGACGTGAAATGTGTACGTTAACCCTTCTTGCTGCGTTAGTCAAGCAGGCACTTTTTGTAAAAACCATTTTCATAAAACAAGTTTCATAAGGTAAAATACAGTTTCTGAAATTACTTATTTTATTTAGGAAAGGTCTTTTTATCTGAATTGTACAAAGACCATAAGGAAATCTATGAAAGGTTCTTATACTCAGAAACTTAGCATTGTTCATATTTCTATGAGTTACTGCATATGAGGTAAAGGAAAACATTTTCTTCTACAAGCCAAATAGGTAACTCTATGTAAGCATACAATACAAATATGTTTTCAAATAAGATTAATAAACTGCAGTACTTTTAAGCTGCACTCGTTATAACAGGGCAAATGCTGCTGTTTGGGGTGGCAGCTGTTGGTCCGGAGCTCTGTAACAGGGGAACGCTGTTAAAACTGCAGCATTGTGCGGAGGGCCTCCTTAAGGCTCGGTATCAGAGGAGACCCACGTTGCTGGGACCCACTGAGGCTCTTCCTGAGCCTTCTGAACTGCAGACAACAACTGGGCACATGCATCTTGCAAGTTGTCATTCACAATCACATGATCAAAAAACTGGCCAAACTGAGTCTCCATTTTTTGAGCTAAATCCTCCATCTCTTGGAGATCTTCGTCCTTCAGGAGAAATAGAAAAATATGGATAGCACAAACTTAATGAGACGAATAGAAATAGTACGCAGTTTGTTATTTTGATTGTTATCCAGCTGTGAAGCTATTTATAAAAACAATTAGGTCAAATAAATTTCCTCTATTCCAAACCTCTACTCTAAAACACCGTTTCTCTCTTTAGTCTTACTTAGGATCCCGTTGGGCAAGGTTTCGTGAAATTTATTAACGGTTCCTAGACAGACCAGTCCTCTCAACTTCCCATTTGGACTTAAATTATCTTATTCTATTATCTAAACACTTGAAGCTCTCAAACCATATACAACATAAAACCAAAGAAAATTTACCAGTTAAGTATAAATAAAACTTAAACATAAATTTCAAATGAACACTAACTTGACAAGAATGACATTACTTTGCAGATACAAAATGACCACTCTCAACCTGAGGATGGCATGACCCAGTTCTATTGAATTGGGCATACTTAGATTACCCTTTGCTTCATGATGACCTAATTCACCTATAATATTGTCTATTTCTACTATTGTGAAATTTTGTTAAGTGAAAGTCATTTGGCCTTTACTTGGCACTAACGCAGTAAATTGATTGCTGCTATTTTCTTATTTGTCTACAACAATTAAAATAGTACATCTTGTTGCCAATGCATCCTAAACACAAATATAGACACAGGCACTGCAACCTCGTGGCGGTACTCCTTTACCAGGTGGCCATGCACATGATCCAGAAACAATTTTGTTAATTTGTTTAGCTTGCCATAAAAATGAGAACACAATTTTAGATGCCCATAAGACTCGGAGAATATATCCATGGACTCTACTGTCTGAAATGCAAACTGGAGTATCAGACTTTCATATAGTAATTATTAAAAACATATGAACATAAAAATAATGAGAGATAAAAGATAATATAAAGCTACCTTGTACTCACTTCAGCAGCGTATATACTAAAGTTGGAATGATACAGAGATTAGCATGGCCCCTGTGCAAGGACACGTGCAAATTCATGAAGTATTCCATATGTTTAATTTCAGTTTTACAAGATAAAAAAGTTCTGGAGTTCTGTTTCATGATGTGAATATACTTTACACCACTGAACTGTATACTTACAAATGGTTAAAATGGTTAGTTTCGTGTTTTGTTTTTCACCATACACACAAAAATAAGTGGATGTAATATCTGGATCTAGGTGATGGTTATCTGGGTGCATACACACGTAAAATTTCATTGAGCTGTACACATGTTATGACAAAATCTTTAATATGGATTTAATGAAAATTATTTAAAAACTGGAAAAAATTCACCTATTGTAGAAAAGAGTTCACTGATTAAGCCCACCTGGTTTGGCCCCTCTATTATTACCATCATCGTTAATAAACATTTTTTGTGTTTAAAAATATATATATATATAAAGAAAATTCATCTTACAGATGAGGTGTATTCACCAGAGCATTTTTTTTAAAGATCGGCGCCTGAGCTAACAACTGTTGCTAGTCTTCTTTTTTTTTTCCTGCTTTCTCTCCCCAAATCCCCCCAGTACATAATTGTATATTTTAGTTGTGGGTCCTTCTGGTTGTGGCATGAGGGATGCCACCTCAACATGGTCTGACGAGCAGTGCCATGTTGGCACCCAGGATCCGAACCAGCAAAACCCTGGGCCGCCAAAGTGGAGTGCGTGAACTAACCACTCTGCCATGGGGCTGGCCCCTCACTAGAGCATTTTTAAAGTAAACTTTCAAACATTTTTGTAAAATAAATAATCCATTTTGAATACAAATATTAGGCCTACGCACACCTAATTTCTGTATGTCTTTGCAAACTGTGGCTTGAGAGCTCTTTTTTTTTTAAAGCTAGACCCCAAAAAAAGAAAAAAGAAGAGTAGCATCATAGCAATTATTAAACTTTATTTTAATATCTATAAATGATGTAAAAAGGATAAATCATAAGTGCATTATTCATTAGAAACAGAAATTACATTCCTTAACATCGGGATGCTGTGGAAACAACAGTGGTTTTTTCACTAGGGGAATAAAAACAAAACAACGCGTACATCCATTGCCTCTGTATCTTACCTTGAACTTCATGTCCACAAAGTAGTTTGTAATGATCTTGGCATTTTTCCGAGATCGCTTCATACAACTCATGTTAGACGGCTTTATAAATATGACATAGGGCTTCAGTTCATGAGTTCTAGCCACTTGAATACCCTACACAGAAAAATTAAATGCACATTTAATAACAGAAGTCTTAATTTCCTAGAATCAACATGAATGTTCTCAAATTTCTAAGATCAGAAATTAGCAATTATTTTTAGCCAGAGTATATTTTCATGTGCTCTCAAGTCCTCAACTCTAAAAATCATGTTAATAATTAAGAGATGGGGTTCTAGAATCAAAATTACATTCGAATCCTTGCTCTTCCGGTTATTAGCCATGACACCTGTACTGAAATCTGATAGGATTCTGTACATGATCTCATGGGACAATGGCAAAGACAGACTCTCGAGGAGGATCAGCTCCGTTTCACTTTCCTCTTACCATTATCTCACGGTGGACTGACATCTTCATACTGACCACCAGCTTTGACCCAAGTAAGAACAACTCTTGTCCCCTGATTCTCTTCAGCACACAAGATATATTTTTTAATTGACTATAGAAAATGCAAGCAAACTACAAGGATCATAAAAAGTGGGCCCTACACATTGTATGTTCTTTATCTTAACTTGCTCGCTCCTCCTCCATTCCACGTAAGTCTCAGACAGGCAGCCATACATATGACAACGTAGGAACCTCACCTTCTGTGTAAAGCAACATCTTATTCCCACCACAAGAAGTTGCCTTGCTGCCTTTGTGATCAAGGTCAAAGAAGATTCCAAGTTTTTTTATGGCACTCGCTCAGTTCTGTTTTTATGTCTGAGAAACTGGATTTCTTCTCCAAGACAAGATATTGGCAACTGATCCTTCATTTAAGATCCTGGCTTTTAGATATGGGAAGTGGTCTTATCCTTAAAAGGCTAACAGAATAAAATGTCTCACCTACAGCCTACAGCATGTACACAAAACGGATGACATGCATTCACTATTTTGGGGAGATGGGAAATATTCCACTGCCGACCCACCTGGGGCTCTAAGTCCATGACACAGATCTTTCCTTCATTGAGAACTTCTTGAACAGCATCCACGCTGGTGCCATATAGGTGGCCTTTGTACTCACCGTACTCGAGCATCCTGCAAGAGAGGGACAAAGAAACAAGAATTCTTTCTACAAGTAAAATACTATCAGTAGTAACGTGAAGATAAACTACAACCGAATAGAATAAACTATGTGGACTTTACTAGCACAAAAAGAATTAGTGGATATTCGACAGGATAAAAAAATATTAGGAGATTTAGTACTTAACTCCTCCAATTTCTCTAAAATTTTCAACTCAATTGTGCTCCCTCTCTGAACCCAGTGATTTCATGTACTAATATATCAATTTACATTTCCTTGCTTAATTCTTCAGAAACAAGAAGAAATTACCTCAGTCAGAAGCTTTGGAATATGTATTAAATAGGGAATCTAATCTGAATGTCAAACTCCAGAGGCGAGAATCAGATTCCGACCATCTAGCTTACCTGTGACTATACACGAGGCTTTCAAATGCTTCCTTTGACACATAGTGGTACTCGCGTCCATTGATTTCATAACTCTTTTTGGAACGAGTAGTATCTATCAAAAAGAGGGAATTTTAAAAAAGGTTTTAGAATCTTCAAAATGTTTTGATTTATTACCAATATGCATTTGGATAAAGGTGTCCAATCAAAATAAGTAAATGAATACATAAACATAGATAAATAAAATGCCAGAACCAAAAAGAGGGAGCCTGAATTGGTGATAAGAAAGTAGAAGTTCTCAAATCAAAATCGGTTAATCTATAAGCCTTTATTAAGTGCTCACAGAGTAGATAGACAAGAAGGTATTAGGTATTCAGCCAGGAGAGGGACATCCTAAGGGAACACCTGCTCTTACTTCAAAACAGGCAGTAATGAGTTATGCGTGAACCCTAAGATGCCTGCAGGCCCCCAGGTAGCAACAGCAGCAGTGGCTCATGTTCAGATAGTGAATTTCCCAAGATCTCGTTTCGTCCCTCACACTGCTAGCTAGGTGGACTGTTATTATCTATAGTTTACTGATAAGTAACCGAAGCTTTTAGAGAGTAACTAAATTACATACATAAGACTAAGGAAAAGCAAAGTTGAAAACAAGAACCTCGGTGTTCTGACTCCTCCTAGACTAAAGCTTTCTACTACACCAGCTTGTCTCAGATTCGGAATGGAGAGAGCCCGTGACAGTCTGCCATCCTGCCCAGGTGCATTCATATCCAAGTGAGATGGCGATCGGTTTTAGGGATCTTCAGAAGGGAAGGACTCGTGGAGTCTGGAGTCAGTCTGACTCTTTGATATGACCACTTAGGTTAGAGATTCTTCAACTTAAATAGTACCTGTTTTAGAACCTAGCAGTTCACTGAATACCTAACAGTGATTCTTGTCTGCTCATCCATTTATTCAACTAACATGTACTGTGCTTATGTTCCAGCCATTGTGTGAGGTTCTTAGAACACAAAGATGAATAAGATACAGTCCCAACTCTGTGTCCTGTATATACATACTGCAAAGCTGCTAGTCCCTTAACCTTCTTTGCAACAAATCCTCTTTATTCATCAAAAATTTGTGTATTTGCTTTTGACAAAGTTTAAGGATGAAATAGATCAACACCTGATGATATTAACACATGGAAATGATCAAGTAGGAGCTTGGAAAGGGCCCTAAATGATAAAAGGAGTTATGGACATTCAAGAGGCACAAAAACCAAATATCATTTGGGAGTAATTTTTGTTTTTTCTTTAGGTAAGCCTCTCTTCAGCTCCCTAGAGTTCCTATAGTCATGCCACTTCTATAGCTTTGTACTGAAAAAACTCTTAGTGAAACACTATGGCTCTCAGGTGACAGTAAATTGTGTTAACATAAACCTCGGATGACGGCTTCTCCTTGGCTTCTAGTGGACTGTATTTTACACAGCAGGTTAAAGTCTGTGAATTGGTGCATAACTTGAGATATTCATTGTAAGCCCAAAACTGTTCACTCAATTTAAAAAGCAAAATATGGGCAACATTTTCTCACTTTGGATGATGGTTATCCACACTCCTTATAATTCTTCTATGTTCTGTGGGCATTTTTATTATTGAAAAATGATTTCTTCTGTAGTTTTTGTTTTTGAGATTAATGCCCATTCTTACACATGTTAACAGTACTTGGAAAGCACAACCTATGGAAGGTGATCATAAAGCAACTTTTTATGCCTCCCATTGCCCTTCTGTGGGTAAGACCTACCCGTGGCCCTGGATGAAAATCTAGCAGTTCCTATGAATCTTCTGACTACTCGCAGGTTTTAAAAAAAGTCTACAACCATTCATGCCACAAAACTCAGCCTCAATTTAATAATTAAAATTCCATTCCCATTAGTAATCAAAATTATGAACTTCATGTTTATTTCATGCCTCTCTTCCCCACATCTGTCTCAGACCTGCTGCACCCAGGGAAGCTGGCAGTCGGAGAAGCCAGAACTCAGGACAGGGAGGATGGTCCGTTTCTTCTCCCCTCTTTCACTGCATTTCTGCTGTCCTCCCCCAGTTTTATAATTCCTCAAGGCTAGCGTGCAGAGAGAGAGGAGAGGAAACAGGGCAGGAAAATCCTTATGTGACTGATGCTGATGCTGATGCTGGCTTCTTCTGGCTCTTTTTAGACTTGGCAGATGTTTAAATCTGGCTCTTTCTCTCCTAGAGGATGTATTGGGTTATTTTGCAAACACCACTACCACAACTACTGAGTATCTCAAACCCATCTCTATTCCAGCTCGTCATTTGTGATTTCTTCCACACCCTGAGGTATCTGGGGTTCCACTTTTGGCCTCCTACTGAGGCTTCATCTTGAGCAGGAACTAAGACAACCTCGGCTGACTTTCTCCTACATTATCCCCTCAGATCTGGTCCTTGGGAATCATCACAACTCTTTGGCTGTGACAGACTCTAAAAGGCCAGCTACCTCCCAAACTGCAGCCATTGGCCACCTCTTCTAAGCTCCCATCCTTCAGATTTTTCAGGTATAATACTGACACCTGTCTTCTGTGACCTTCAACCTGCAGAGAACACATATTAAGCTCTTTAGGTGGTTTCCCTAAATTGCTCTCTTGCCTTGAGGTGAAAGGGAAGCACCCAGACCCACACACTCTTCCTGCCATGGATGGTATAATCAAATGTACAGATTTATTTAAAATTATACATGCATATATTAAAATTTTTAAATAAAAAATAAATAAGATAAGGCATCAAACAGTCAAGCACAGTGCTAGGAAGATAGTAAGTACTGAACGAATGTTAGCTACCATTGCTAAATATTAGTTTTCCTGAAAGGTCATCTAAATGATGGTTAAGAAATGGAAGAAAGACAAAGCCGCTTTTTAAAAGCCTAGCTAGCTACACGCCAGTAAATCAATCCCCTTTATTAAAACAAATACAGTCAGCAATATTAAGGACTGTCCTTTGCGTCTTAGATTTCTACAACAAAGATGGTATGACGCAGTTCCGTGAGACCAGCGCATCTGCAGGGGCAAAGAACATTTTACCAAAAGGTGAACCTCTCGGAAAGAAGAACTAGACATACGTGGCACAGCGCTTTGAAAATGGTTAGGATTTAGTTCAATAAGTTGTCTTCTCAGTTCATTTACTCCAACACCAGAAGGTCCTAAAGACAAAAAGTCACATACAGAAATCGTTAGATGTGGATAATAGGGTGAAATCATTTTAGTCCTTCTACTGAAGAAACTTGAGAGCAAGTGTTTTGAGGGAAATTACATAGCTTCTCTTCTCACAAATTGGAACAGCCCCAGAAAACTCTTAGGAATTTCCCTGGTGAACCATGGAGAAACCACACTTCCTCAACATTCAGAAATGAGGTAGGAAACCGCAGGAACCTGTCACCCCAGCAAACTTCACCTAATGTTGGACACTGAGAATTCTCGGGCCTCATCTCAGGCAATCTGAGACAACCTACCTTTCCTCTTCAAACGAAGTTTCTACTAGACCACAACCCAGAAATCAGCCTTCACAGTTACGGGTCCTGTGACTGACAGAATTCGGGGGCACATTTCCTGACAGGTGGTTGAATCAACACCCCCGTGTCCAACTGGAGGCAAAGTTGGCCTCATGGGCACAGAACCCGTGCAGTTACACAAGGCCCGTGCTTAGGATCCTATGCTTGGTTTAATACTCTTCTCTGGCCACGTTGAAATTCTTAATTTTTGAGCAAAGGGCCCTTGTATTTTCATTTTGCACTGGGCCTTGCAAATTATGCAGCTGGTCCTGGCTGGAAGGCATGTTGTTCCACCCTGCAGGGGCCTGCCTTGGTCACAGCTAGAGACACAGAGAGGATGGCAGCAAGAGGCAGGTCACTACTGCCGCAAGGACCAGCGGAGATCTTAGTCACAAAAGCAGGTCGCCCCAGCTCTGTATTTGCCCTGTGCTTTAGCATCAAAGATACATTCTAGAAGATTTTAGACACGTTTCTAAAGGAGATGGTCACAAATTTCTTAGGGAAATGAAACTTAAGGGCTTTTTTTCCTAATACAGAGCAGTGACCCAGTCTGGGAGAACACTTATCTATGCATATAGAACAAATTCTAAACAGGCACAAAAAATCCCATTACAGCCTCATCATAATACAGCTTGTTACCCTACAAGTCCATATACATCATGACATACCACATTCATTGTAGACAAGAAAAATATGATACAATGAAGTGTTATTTATAAACACATATAAAACAGGTGTTATTGTTTTCTAAAGTGTTTACATGGGGCTCCATAAAGAGTTCCACCTTTACCACTACTCCCAGTGCAAGGCCCCCGAATCTAGGAGAGCTTTGCCTGCAGGCGCAGCCTGCTGGGACGTACCCACGAGCACTATGAGGCGGTGCTTGTCTGAAGGGCGGCGCTGGTACCTCACCACCTCCTCGTAAGGGGCGCCCACCGCGCCGTGGCAGCTGCCGGCCCCGCACACGCTGGCGCGCACCTGGCTGAGGTGAGACTTCCTGCGACAGAGGCGCATGCTGCGGCGGAAACCAGCTGGGGAGGGTGGAAACGCACGGAACGTCAGATCCAGGGCAGGAGAGAGCACTTCTTGCTCCCAACCTGATGGAGCGTGCAGTGACTGTGACCCGAAAGTGTTAGTTCACAGAGCCACGTCTGTCTGAAGTCAGAAGACAGGAAGCGATATGAAGGAAGAATAACACAATGCCCCATATGCCCCTGGGTGGCCTCAGCACCCACTGTGTGCCGGGCGTTGTACCAGGTGCTGGGGATACAGCGGTCCGCGAAACCAAACCCACGGCCTCAGGAAATTGACATCTCATGGGGGAGGAGAGACAACGAACCACAACGAAAATAGTGCTAAGAAGAAGGGCGAGTGGGTGGAAGGTCCCCCGGTGCTTCTTCAGATAGAAGGCTCCATTAGGTGTCTTTGAGAAGTTGACACTGAGCAGGAAGGGAGCCAGCTAAGGAGGCACCTGGGGGGCACAGCAGTGCAGGCTGAGGGAGCGGCAACTGCAGAGGTGCAGAGAAAGGAGCGGGCTTGGGGAGCTTGAGGAGGAGCTGGGAGGCCTAAGAAGCTGAAGGGCAGTGACAGTAGGGAGAGAGGTAGGGAGTAGGGGTGGAGAGGAGGCCAGGAGGTCACACAGGGCCTCAGGCAAGTGTTGGATTGTGGTCAAAGTGGGATGGGAGGCCACGGGGTAGTCAAGAGACAGCGTGACATGATGTGCTTGATGTTTCTGAAGAAGCGCTCTGGTTGGTGAGAGAGGGTGTAAACTGTAGGGGGAGGAGCTGCAGGCTCCAGGGAGGGTGGTTAGGAAGCTGCTGCAGTGTCCTGGGGAGAGAGGACAGTGGCTCGGGCCACGTGGAAATGGGAGCAGGCTTATTACCCACAGATGGACACACTAACCCAGACAGGTGATGTGGTCGCTCACAACTGTGTGCTCAGTGGTAGAGCTGGACATCTTAGCCATGACTTCCCAACTCCTACGATCCTGCTTAATCTGCCTAGCAAATCACAGGGCTTTCTGGTACTTACAGAGCGGCTCCCAGGTCCTCTCAGATAGTAGAGTTATACAAACATATATATATATATATACACACACACACACATATGTATGTATATATATGTACGTATATGTATAATATATATATAATACATATATAAATACACACACTTACATCTATGTCTGTATCTATTTATGTTGAAAACCATGAATTTATATCAACAGCTACAACGCCAATTTAACAGTACGGGATCCATTCCAGCCTTCCCCCTTTCCAGATGTAACTCCCTTCCTTGGCGGTGAGCAACCTGACTCTTATTATCCTCATACATTTACTTATTGTGTCCGTCAAGAGCACCTATGCAGGTGGGGACGGTGAGTATCAGCAGCCTGGCAGCGTCAGAGCCCAGGCTAGGTGAGGAGGGCATCTTTGTAGAGGCTGTGCCGTATCAGAGCCCCAGTGTTGGCAACTGCCCTCCTCACTCACTGGGCAGGCTCTGCCAACCCACGCCAGCTTGCCATCATCCCTGCACAGACGCCCTCTTCACTCTGCACAGGCTCTGATGCCCCACCCCAGGCTGCTGCTTCTCCACTTTTGTGCAGATGCCCACCTGCTCGCCTAACTAATGGCTTTGGGGCTAAATTATTCTGGAAGGGACACAGATAGGTGGCACTGTTTTTTTTAAAGCTCCCTCAATGGTTCCAATATGCATCCAGGCCTGGGAACCGCACTCTACTTTACAGACCCTGCAGCCCTGCTGTTCTCCCACTGTCTCATGGAAGGAGGAAGCCCAGCGTGGTTTTAATGAGTGGTGCCCAGTCCTTCAGAAAGCTCCGCCCAGTTGACAGATGATGGAAATGTGGCCATAACACTAAGATTAGTAGTCAGAGAATTGGTCTCTAGAGTAAGATAAACACATTTTGGAACAGAGTGGAAGTAAATTAAAGATCTGTGTTTGACAAATAAAAGATATCCAGTGTAAGCTAGACCAATTACAATGAATGATCAATAATAGATCAGAATATTGACCCCCCCACCAAAAAAGGATAGAGGGAAACTAGAGGAAGGAATAAGTTTGGAAACGTCCATCAGCAAAAGAAGCTTTCAGAAGAGTGTCAGGCTGTAACTTAGCAAGTGGCAAAGACCCACTTCTTCTTAAGCATCACCTACCGATAAAGAACTTCTGGCCATAGCCGACAAATTCCTCCTTGTCTGGAACACAGAGAAAGGCAGGAGCAGCGTATGTGGAGGAGGAGGAGGAGTTTACTTAGAACAGGTGCATGAAATCATCTTCAGATCTTCACGTGACACTGTGTCAGTGGACAGCAGCCCAACTGAATGTACCCTAGAGTGGCTTACTAAAGAACGTCCTGAGCGCTTCCCATCCTCTCACATGCACAGACTGTGTAGACACACTCCAGAATTTCAGCAATATACTGAATATACTGTCTAGTGTGACTGAGAACAAAATGCTATTTTAGGCTTGTTTAGAGTTATGAGAAAGATACTGAGTCATAACAAAAACGTAAAAATTGAGTATGCTTTTTTAAACATGCCACAAGAAAACTGATTTTAAAAAAAGAGACAGATGAACTGGCTTTGGCCTTAACTTGTGGTTAAGGTGTTTTGCAGGTCCTATAATTAATCCCTTTGTTAGAAATGTGTTTTTAGGGGCCAGCCCTGTGGCATAGTGGTTAAGTTCGTACGTTCTGCTGCAGTGGCCAGGGTTTGCAGGTTCGGATTCCAGGTGTGGACATAGACCACTCATCAAGCCATGCTGTGGTGGTGACCCACATACAAAATAGAGGAAGACTGGCACAGATGTTAGCTCAGGGCTAATCTTCCTCAAGCCAAAAAAAAAAAAAAAAAAAGGAGGAATATTGGCAATAGGTGTTAGCTCAGGGTGAATCTTCCTCACCAAAAAATAAAAGAAAAGAGATGTTAAAAAAAAAAAAAAGACAGAAATGTGTTTTTATTTTCTCCATTACAAAATGGTTTCTTCTGGGGCCGGCCCCATGGCCGAGTGGTTAAGTTTGCGCACTTCGCTGTGGCAGCCCAGGGTTTCGCTGGTTCAGATCCTGGGCGTGCACATGGCACTGCTCATCAGGTCATCCTGAGGCAGCATCCCACATGCCACAACTAAAAGGACCCACAACTAAGGCATACAACTACATACTGGGGGGATTTGGGGAGAAAAAGCAGAAAGACAAAAAAAAAAAAGATTGGCAACAGTTGTTAGGTCAGGTGCCAATCTTTAAAAAAGAAAAAATGGTTTGTTCTGTACAAAATTAACATTTGCTCTATGGCTGCCAACTGTTTCTGACTGGCCAGGAATCTGAGAGACAAAAGTGAGGGAAACCATGCCCAGGGGCCTGAACCATCTAAGGCTTGTTTCAACTCCTGTCTCTGCTTCCAGTGGGGTCCAGAAAAATTGCTATAAACTCCAGAAAAAAAAAGTCATTTTCAAATTACTGTTTACTAACCTATGTTGCTTGTCACTTTTTTTTTTTTTTTGAGGAAGATTAGCCCTGAGCTAACTGCTGCTAATCCTCCTCTTTTTGCTGAGGAAGACTGGCCCTGAGCTAACATCCATGCCCATCTTCCTCTACTTTATACATCGGACGCCTGCCACATCATGGCTTTTGCCAAGTGGTGCCATGTCCGCACCCTGGATCTGAGCTGGTGAACCCTGGGCCGCCGAAGAGAAACGTGTGCACTTAACCGCTGCGCCACCAGGCCAGCCCCATTCTTCACTTTTACGACTCTGTTCTGATCATTGAAAAAATATATAAAGAGCATTTGTTCATAGAATGAACCGACATATACAATCTTTTTTTTCTTACCTTTTGGGGTTTTTTTAAATACACATTTTAAAATATAAAGAAAACCCACTAATATTAATTTCATCTTCTGCTAAATAAGCATATTTTTCTAACTGAAATATGTCAATAAGTTTAAAAGGAAATGTTTACTTAGGGATATATTCATAAAGCTTACTCACTTTCATTGTTCATTTTAAAATATTTTCTTTGAAGGTGAATAGTTCATCATTGATTTCACCCTTAAAAGTCATATCTTATCTTAAAAGTTATCCTGTCGATTCTTTATTTTGAGGCACTGAAAGATCCTGAACATAGTTCTATTTGGCTTATCCAGGAAATAAAAACAATTACCTTCTGAAAGTTCCTCTAGATATTTGGGTAAGTGCAGAAACAGACATGGAAAAAGTTAAGATTTTGAGAAGATCAAGTCAGTCATCAAGTAAAGACAAACGACAAAATGAGGCATTCACGTCACCCTTAGGGAAGTTGTAAGTCAGGGGAGGCCTGGCCAAGAACAACACACAACTGAGGCCTCAGAAACTCCTGTGACCCGACTCTGCAGCTCAGGGGACAGCTTTTCCTGCCAGGTGTGCATCTCTATTCTCCCTGAAGGCTTTTTATCCACGAAGTTTCCTCTCTACTTGGTTGGCACAAAGTGGAGCTTGAAAGGGAGAAACTGCAGGAAGGCAACTGACTTGCGCCTCCTCCCTTTGCTCAGAGGCCATGTGGCTGCGCTCCTGTGAAGAGGAGGAAGGGGTGGAAGATGCGTGGGCAGGCGCTGCCGCAGCCTCTGGCCTGAGCGCCCTCATTCCTCACCCCTCCCTGGGTCCAGTCACACGCTTCCATCTCCAGCTGGCCCCTTGAAGACAGGCGGAATGAACACAAAGGTTTGTTCGCATATAATGAGAGAAAGGGAAATCGCCTCAACTGAAGTAGGGACAATATGCCAGAGCAATTACAGACTGAGGGGACGGAGAACAGGAGGAAGCACAAGGCTGGAACTCGGAAGCAGGTGAGTAACGTCAACACACCCCGAAAGGCTGCTGTTTTTAAAAAACACTCTGTGGGATCTATGTTGTTACTACAGAGGTCAACGTGATTTTGAGGGACAGACACTTGATGATACCATGTGTTATCAATAACAAATAACCTGGTAAAGAAAACGAAAATAATTCAGCACAGATACCTCACTCCAGGTTATTTACTCTCAGTATGGAGTAGACAGATGCGCGGAATAACTTATTCAATAACTGCAAAGCAATGTCTTTTATCTGTTCAAACGTCTCTCTCCATAATGACTATCTTCTAAACCACCGAGTTTTCCATGTTACATTTCGTGAAAACTTACGTCACTATTGTGTATGCCTTCTATTTGTAATGAGTGTGAGGAGCAGGACATTCGAAAGATTGCGCAGGACGGTCTCATACACTGCAGGACGTCTAGTGGTCCTGACTCCTACCAACGACGGCCAGCAGTGCCCCCAGTCAATGTGACAACCAAAAACTGCCTTCACAGAGTTCCAAAATGCCCCTAAAGGGAAGTACTGGTTAAGGTGAAATTTACCGTATCTTACAACTCTACTGTTGATGTATTTAGACAATTATTGTATCATATCCCTAAATATGTATGTAAATTATACCAAAATTTGGAATATACATTTCAAAATCAGCATGAAATACTCATTTTTTACTTACCAGATTCAAATGTTTCTTCATCTGTAGTTTTCCATGGAGGCAAAAAACCAAGTGTTACTACATTTCCATCCACACTGAGTCTGTATTTCACCAGTCTAATTCCCTGACCCTCTGCTTCTGCACACACACTGCCTTGAAAAACGTTTTCCTAAATCAAGGCCAAGTCAGTGGTGTCTGTATGGCATATACAAGCCTTAAATGAGATACATGGCATTAAGCTATTGGGCTGTGATGACAAGCAGGGGTACAGCAGGAGCTTAAAATAAATAAGTGAAATAATAGAAGAGAATAAATAAAATAAAAAAGAGGCTCAGAGGGACAGGAAAAGTCGGGTGTCATGGGAAACTCCTCCAGATTGTTGGATACTGCACAGCTTGGCTGCCAGAGAGCTTGCAGATGTAGGAGGGGTGCCGCCTACCTGAAGATCTGGGGGTGCCTGAGCAAGGGGAGTGCAGCAAGGAGCCAGAGCGTGTGAGTGGTCTGGCTGGGTAGACTGGTTCAGGGGACGAGAGGTCTGAGACAAACCAACTCACTCAGCACTTCAAACAATCCTTGTTGGCATTTTGAGTTTAAGGATTAGGAAACTAGAATTTATATGGAGAGCAATTTGAACTATAAAGCGACATTACCAATGTGCACATCCTTGGGTCAGGTGATGCTGCATTTAAGGTGGATTCACATGTGTGAAACCATATATTTATAAAGCTAGTCACTGTTTATCCTAGGAAAGATGAGACATAACCCAAATGCTACCAATAAGTGATTCTATAAACATACAATAACTTATTTAAAAAAACATGAGGAAGCTCCTTATGTACTAAGATGGAATCATCTCCAAGACATACAATGCTACAAAAAAGCCAGGAACAGAACAGTGTATACAGCATATCATCAAAGAGTACATGCACTCATGTTTTAAAAAAAGGTGAGAATGAGGGTGGGGGAGAAGAGAAGAAAATACACATCATTGCTTTTTTTTGAGGAAGATTTGCCCTGAGCTAACATCTGCTGCCTATCTTCCTCGTTTTTTCTTTTTCGCTTGAGGAAGATTCACACTGAGCTAACATTTGTGCTGATCTTCCTCTATTTTGTATGTGGGTCACTGCCACAGCATGGCCACCAACAAGTGGTGTAGGTCCACACCCAGCATCTGAACCTGGGCCACTGAAGCGAGTGCAGCAAACTTAACCACAAGGCCATGGGGCGGGCCCCAATGCATCATTGCTTTTATACACACAGACTATATCTGGAGGGACAGAGAAGACATTGAGAGCATTTACTGCCTAAGGAAAGAAAACTGACCAGGGGAACAGGGAGAAAGAGGACCTTTCACAGAATGTACTTTTGTAGTTTTCAAATTTTGAAATATGTGAATGTGGTACTTAATAAAAACTTTAATTAAAATTACAGAAAGGAAATGAATATTACTGCAAGTTAAAAAAAAAAAAACAGAATGTGTACTTGGTGAAATATAGTGTAAGCATCATTCTGTAGTTGTTCTGGGAAGTATATAAAATCCCCAGTATGTAAAGATTTCAGGGGCTGGTCCCATGGCCGAGTGGTTGAGTTTGCACGCTCTGCTTCGGCGGCCCAGGGTTTCACTGGTTTGGATCCTGGGTGTGGACCTAGCACTGCTCATCATGCCATGCTGAGGCTGTGTTCCACATAGCAGAGCCAGAAGGACCCACAACTAGAATATACAACTATGTACTGGGGGACTTATGGGGAGAAGAAGAAGGAAAAAAAGGGATTTCATATTGTTCTTTAATTTCTAAAAACTAGATTAACCCATATAAGCCAAGACAAATTCACCTATCAGACTAAAGACGCTCTAACTAGTCTCCTAAAAAAACCCTAGTGATTCTTGAGCCCGCCTTAGTTCTGCCATGAAATCTGAAAGATCTTTTCCCAATTTCCAAAAAAATTTAAGAACAGAAACGTAAAAAGTTTTCATATATTTCTTGAAAATTTGGAATCCACTACTATTTATCTATACTAGAATCTACCAGAAGATGGTATCAGACAATAACAAAATATATATTTTGCTTTTTAAAAAATTTGATATCTCAATATTTTGTAGTATTTCACCAAGAGCATGATTATTTCCAGATGTTCCACCTGAATGTAACACCTGTGTGCTACCACGTGTTCCTGCGATCATGTCCAAAATATTGCTTTCTAGAGCACTTTCTAGAAGATGGTTTGGAGCCTGGAGACATTCCCACAGCTGTGCTTCCCTTCCAAATGCCAGAAGCACAGGAAAAGGACAGTGGACAGCATTCATTTTACACGCTTCCTCCAGAGGCAAGGCCTGTGGCCCCTTTGGCTGACTCTGCTTCAGAAAGTCTACAGCTGAGAGGCTTCATGTTTCTACTCGTGGTCAACTGACCAAGAAGAAACGCTACCTGCTTCCACACATTTCTCGTCAATCTTCATGTCATCTTCTATAAAAGAGCATAGAAAGGGAAAAATAAAACTTAAAATGTGTTAGCATCACAAACAAAACTCCCTACGCACAGCCTTATGTCAATAAAACTCAGACCACCCTATAATAATGTTACTCGTACGACTATTGCTCACTTGTAGAGATAAAAAGGACTCTATTATACTAATGAAAATGTATGATATGGGCGGCTACACAACATAAAAGGGTTAGAATTCAAAAGCATAGGGTTTTGAATGCTGGACAAATTAGGTTACCTCTAAGCCTTGGTTTTCTATCTATAATGGGGACAGTAGTAATATCTACCATGTAGGATAGGATTAATTGAGATAATGCACGGAAAGCTCAGGCATATGGTAAGTGCTCATTACTGTTAATGATTTTTACCTTTAGCTTAAGTACATATAAGAGAATAAAAGAATACAACTTTTAAAAGTATTCATCCTAATACTCAAAACACTTTAGTAACATGACCCAAGCCCAACTTTGAACTCTTGTCCACTTTGCTCCTTCACATGTCTTACACCCCCTCTAGCGTAGACCTCACTTCTTCCTCTGCACCTTTGCTTATGCTGTTCCCTTTGACTGTAATCTTCAAGGTCTGTCTCCAGCACTAATCCAAATGAACACCTCTGCCATGAACTGCACAGCATTTTTTTCCTACTCCTTGAATTCTCTGATGCACAGCTACTCTGCCTTGTAATATCATCATTGGGTGTTTGCCTTATTCATCCTCTTAGCTCCCTGAAAGTGGAAACTGTCTCACTAATTTTTACATATTTTATAGAGCATAGAACAGTCTTGCACATAGTAGGTACACGAGAAATTATTTATTAAATTGAATTGTTCTTTTAATATCAAATAGTTGATTTGAATGTATGTTCTGAAAAAATAATTTCTTTTCTTTCAGCACTGTACATCTGGTGCCTTGCACAGTGCCCAGCACTTCCCAGGAGATCAATAAATAGTAGTTCAATAAATAAGTCTTACATATGTTCCAAAAGTACAAATTATAGTAAAGTATTATTATAGTATAACAAGCTATAATATTATAAAGTAATATAACAAACTTATCACCACCTCAAGGACCACGTCATTAATTAATGTTTTTTAAGTAAAAGGTGCAACATGAAAAATTGTATGAAATAACACTGTTTTATAGAGATAGGAGCACAGACAACAAGTCACCTGGCTGAGGATTTCGCAGTTATTCAATTCCTTAAGTTCACTTAGAGATTATTTTCCAGATCAGTAATTTATAACAACAGGGAATTCACTAGTTCCTAGGATATACCTATAGGGTTATGGGTTTTTTTAAGGCAAACAAAATCTACAATTGTCATTTCTGTTTTACAGAGGCCAGGGGTAATTCTCCATTAACAGCACGAGTAGCCCTGATTTTTCTAATAGGTACTCTGGGATCTCAGAGAGCCACTGATTTGCTCCCTCAAAATCAACAGCTCCACACGATGGGCTAGGATGAGTGCTACACACTGATCTGTATCCTCCCAAAATTCCTATGTTGAAGCCCTAGCCCCCAGTATGACTGTATTTGGAGATGGGGTCTTTAAGGAGGTAATTAAGATTAAATGAGGTCATAAAGTTGGGGCCCTAATCCAAAAGGATTGGTGGCCTTATAAGAGGAGGAGACATCGAACTGATCTCTCTCTCTCTTCCCCTCCCTTCCTCCTACCCCACATTCACAGAGGAAAGGCACATGAGCACCCAGAGAAGGCAGCCATCTCCAAGCCAGGAAGAGAAGTCTCCCAGAAACCAACCCTGCCAGAACCTGGATCTTGGACTTCCAGCCTCCAGAACCATGAGGAATAAGAACCTACTGTTGAAGCCCCCCAGCCTGTGGTATTTTGTTATGGCAGCACGAGTGGACTAAGACAGGGGGCTTGTTACCCACCAAGACCACATAGACCCAGCCCCCTGCAAAGACCTGCCCATGCACCCTTCCTCCCTTCCCCTTTCCAGCTTCAGGGATGAAATGTGGGCGGACCAAGGGGACTGCTCTTCTCTCTTCTCCAACCTTTCCACAAGCAGACAGACAGCAACTTGCCTTCTAGATTTTGTGAGTGAGTGTGTGTGTGTGTGTGTGTGTGTGACATCATGAGGAGTCATCTGGGTGTCTGGACATGGAGAAAGGGAGGGGTAATAACTGGAGGTCCCATTTGCCCTTGGTGCAGGGCCCTTCAGACAGACAGAAACTTCAGTCCAGACTATACTGCTTGCAACTTCTGACAATGTTCATTCTTTCTCTGAACCTCAATCTTTTCATCCATAAAATGTGAACAATAATGATTTCCTTACAGGGTTATTTTTAGACATTGTGCATAAAGCAATTGAAATCAAACAGGAGATCAGTTTCACAACTTCTATTGAGTTCTTACCCTGTGCCGTGTTAGACTCTGGGCTGCCTATAAATATTGGCTCTCTTTTCTTTTATTCCTCTCAGTGTTAGGACAATTACACTGTGAGTACATTCTTTTGACTGACACATTTTAATAAATTAGTTTATTAGTGACTAGTACACTACTAGATACATAGGAAGAGCTTAATAAATAGCTGAACTGAATTGAATTCAGAAAACCAAAAGAAATTTCTAGGAGACTTTGGAGATGAGTTTTTTTTTTTTCCAAATACTATTTCTTACCTTCATCTATAGAAATCGCTGAGTACAGATGAACGATTGAAGCAGGCGGAAAAAAAAAGAAGAGAAAGAGAGCACAATAGTTTATGCTATAGTTTCTCAGATTAATTTACTTACAGTAAGGAAAGCAAAGTGACAAAATTATTCTCTAGAAATTCAGTGGAGACGTAGTAACAAAATGATAAGGGAATATCCTATAGAAACTGATACATTTATGAGCCTTGTTGGAAATGGGATCTAGTTGCTTCTGGCAAATCCTACTCCCTTCCATCCCAATAAGATCTATAAGGGTCGCGTTCTATTGATTTCTGAATTAATATGCTTAGTTCAGCATATTTGAGGAACTCAAATCTTGAATGGAAGAAAGGAAAGAAAGAAAGAGAAAGAGAGAGAGAAGGGAGGGAGGGCCAGGTAGAGGGCTGCCAACTACAAGTGCGTCTTCGGGAAATAACTTTTTAATGATCATCTGTAAACTAACATAGGCCTGGAATTTCTCAATAACTCTTTTCTTTCAATAACTCTCCATTAATAAAGTTGCCAATACCTCTTGAGCCAGTAACCTGCTCCTGAGATTATTTTTTGTATGGTAACATTTAAGCAGAGCAGAAAAATACAAAATAACATTCCTTGCAGCATCACATCCAACAATTAAAAACAAAAGAAATGACCTAACAGTTTAGAAAATGACTGTGCTCCATCAGAAACATCCCTGGGAGAGGTGACCCTTTAAGAAGGCGGCTCCAACTAACTCTGGGGTTCCTGGACTTAGAGATTTGTGAGGATAATAATACGGGGCTACAATCTATTTTCAGGATGGTCTTTTCCGAAAGTCTAATATAAATGGCCCTTAGGCTACATGAGCAAATGAGAAGTCAACCAGTGGTCATACTATTATCAGATACTGATTAGAAGCTTAATTAACATTGCCATGTGCCTTTGATAAATGAAATAGGAAAATGAGTTAAAGAAGTACTTCAATCTGGTTTGGTAAACAAACTTTTCTAAAACACAGGGAAAATAACTACAATATCTCTATGAAGATTATATCATGTTTATCTGATATACAAACGTTTCTGATAAAATGTTAAGTTAAAAAAAAGATAAAACGATGTATCGCAGCTGTTACTAGTAATCACTATATAAAATACGTTTCCATAGCTGGAAGGTAGTGTGAAAGTACTGTCAGTGTGAAGGACTCGTAAGAGTGTTTGCTTTCAAAAATGTCTCTATAGTTGTCATCAGATCTTTTCAAGAGAAAATCATTTTCGTCTTAGAGCAGTGAGAAATAAAGCGGGTGAGGACTTGCCACGGCAAATCTGTCGATGCTGTTATCTGCTTTAGGCCCTTCCAGCCCCTCTCCCTCCTCCTGGCGCCTCACCTCCTTCATTAACTCCTTTGGCAGGGGTGCTGCCCAAGGGCCATTTTGGAAGGGCCTGACTCAGCAGGTTCCAGTGGGCTCTGCAAGCCACAGCGCCCTTTATGAAGGCAGGAAGCTGGTCACAAGCATTCGCCACCATCGAGCCCTTTCCTAACCATTCCCACACTGCTGTTTGCATAATACTGTCTAGCAAACAAATTACATTCCTTAAGCAGCAATTCAGTTCCAGGTTTATTCATCAAAGGCACACACAGCTGTTAATCAGAGCTTTTGAACAGTGTGACATTTAGCCCCTCTAAACAGAACCCAGATGAAGGGTCGTGCCTGCCGGTAGGTTATAATGTATATGCTAGCTGCAGGGATCTGGTGCAGCCTGTGCCTGCCGGTAGGTTATAATGTATATGCTAGCTGCAGGGATCTGGAGGGGCTTCAGGGTGGGGAGCTGTCACTGAAGGTGTCCCCAACACAGGAACAGTTGCATTTTCATAAACTGAAAACTCTTTCAAATCCAAAGGAATGAATGTCTAGTGTAGGATTTCAGACAGCTGCCAGGAGGTTCTATGGGGCAGTGGCGACATTTAAAGATCCTCTCCTGGGCAGGAAGCCAGCCCTGGGAGAGGCAGCAGCCTTCCCGATGATGCACATGCTGGGTTTGAGGTTTCGGCACACTCACATATGGTTGACTTCAGGTGGGTGTGAGGCTGGTATGGCTGAGACCACCAGAACTCCCGCTGCTTCCTATGCAAAAAGAAATACACCATGAGAAAAAAAAATCAACTCAGGTTAACCCAGGTGAAACAGATCCAGGCCAGAAGGTTTCTTGGAATTCTGCCGCCTTCCACCCAAGTAAAAAGGAAGATTTCTTCTCCAAACACATTGTCAAATACCTTCTCCAAATGCACAACCTTTCTTATCATTTGTTCCTGCCTGACAGGATGTTTTCCGAGCAACACCGACTAAGACTGAAAATCTGGCTTCTGACCACCAGTTCAGAGACCACAGGGCTTCAGTAAACGAGCCATGCCCCCTGCCTCTCCCACGCTAGCCTGCTTCAGCTGGTCTTGGAATTTCCACGGCACGTTCTGCTTTCCCTCCCATGCCGTTGATGCTCTACACTTTCTTTAGAGCCACAAGAATTTCAACCCCTTCTACTGTCCTGTATTTGTGCACCAATCTGATAAGCCTGTCATTTCTGTGTGCTCCTTGCAAGACCCATACCCGAGCCTCCTCACCACTTACTGCCCTGAGACCATAAGGGCTAATCTCATTAGGCCTTTATCCCTGTTCTTGTCAGGCCCCAAAGCTCAGGTCATCCCTTCTCCTCTGCCTTTTAATCTCTATGAGGCACCGTCCACCCCACCCAGGTCTTCTTAAGGTCACTGCTCCCTTTCTTTCTCTTTAGTGAGGAAGACTAGCCCTGAGCTAACACTTGTTGCCAACCTTCCTCTTTTTGCTTGAGGAGGAGTGGCCCTGAGCTAACATCTGTGCCAGTCTTCCTCTATTTTGTATGTGGGACACTGCCACAGCATGATTTGATGAGCAGTGTGTAGGTCTGCACCCAGGATCTGAACCTGGGAAGTCCAGACAGCCAAAGCAGAGCACACAAACTTAGCCACTATGCCACCGGGCCGGCCCCAAACACTGCTCCCTTTCAAGAGGTGGCTGGCTCCTCTCCCACTCCCAGGGGTGTGCTGGAAAACAGCTCCGGCGGAAGGGCGGCCCTGAGGTGTGGCTTCTGCTGATTTCTCTCGCATCAGTATCCTCCTCGTGGCTGATTGCAGGCTGCCGCCCTGACTCACTGACACGGGATGTGAGATGAGGTGCACGCAACGGGCTCTGCCAGCTGGGCCAGCGCAGCCTTCCCTCCACTGGCCTAGAGCTGGTCTGTGCACCTGCTTCTCCTGGCGACCCCAGACCACTCTCCGTGTTCCCTAGAGGCCCTCACTTTGAATGTCATTCCCCCTGCTCTTCTGGGAGCTGCCCCAGATCATTCCTGCTCACTCTCTTGCCCTCCACACTGTCTTGTACTAATTCTTGATGATTTCATTAGGCGCATGAATGCCCTCCAAACCCCCTAACTGCCTGGTTCCCTCATCTGCTCTCTTCCAAAGACCCTCCCTCATTCTACTTCAGCCACTGCTTCCCACTGACATAATACCCTGGAACTTCTCAGTACCAGTAATGGAAATCTCTCCATAATTTCAATTTACAGCATCCCTTTCTTCTGCCAACACTTCCTATCTTCCCAACCCCAATAATCTGTTGACCCCATTGGGACCTATAATCCATTGATCTTACTTGCTATCCACAGACCCCTACCCCTTACCTCCCTCCTTCAAGAACTTAAATGTCACAGTCCTTCACTGGAATTGCTCCTTGGGCCTTCCCTTGGTTTACTGCCAGGTCCAACTCTGTCTAATCTGGGCCTGCCCCCAGGAAGCTGACCAGAATCACTTCAAATGTATGACCATTAACTTTAAGAGGGCCCTTAATGCTGATCCGACTATATTGACCTAATCCGTTTGCTCTCCAGTCCTCATAAAACTTTTCAACTTTCTCCTCTCTCCTTCCCGATCCCTCCATACCCACCCTTACTCTCAGCTTATGACGCTGCTTCTTATTTCACTGAGAAAATAAGAGTGGTTGGAAGAGAACTTCCATGCTCTCCCCATATCTCCCATCCTCAACTGTACCCACATACCCTGGATTCCCTGCTGTCACTCCTGCTGTGGGTGAACTGCCGATGATCCTACATAAGGCCAAACTGTCTACTTGTACAATAGATCATATATCCTTCTGCCGGCTCAAGGACATCAAGAACAGCAATTCTCTTCTCTTTCTCCTGAATCATAAAAACTTCCCCTCTCACTGGACCATTCTCACCAGCGTTATTTACCCCATCTAAGGAAGTTCTCTTGCACCGCTGCACTTTCCCCTCTTGCTATTTTTCCATTGCTCTGCTCTGCTTTATGCCAAAATGTCTCAAAGAGTTTTCCATGCTCATTGTCATCCATTTCTTCAAATCCAATTCTACTAAGATTTTGGCCTCACTCCTCCACCGAAGTTGCTTTCATCAAGATCACCAATGATCTGCATTGGGAAACCCAGCGGTCAGTTCCCAGTCCTCTCAGCAGCGGCTGACACAGTTGATCAGGACACTATACTGTCTTGATTTTCATCCTGTCCATTAGTCATTTGTTTTCAATCTCCTTTACTGATTCCTTTTCTTCTTCATGACCTCTTAACATTGGCTGAGCCTTGGACCTCTTTCTGTCTTCTTTCTATCTTACTCACTTCGTTGAACCTCAACAGCACAAAGGTGAGGATGGTGGGTTGGGATTCAGTAACTGAGGTTTCAACTCAGCCTCGAAAGATTAGTAGAAGGAGTTAGAACCACCTTTTAAAGTGTAATTCAGTTTCCCCAGTGCTTTACTCTCTTTTCTAGCTGACACGATTATTCTGGTCCCCTTGGCATTTAAGATGCTTAGGGCACATCGACAAGTTGACATTTGGATTTATAAGCCAGTGTGTGTTCATCCATCTGCTTGTCTCTCCTTATCTCCTCTTAACTGCAATAAGAGAAGCCTGAGAAGACATTTTGTTTCCTGATGACTCGGTCCTGAGTTCAGGAGTGACGACTTTTCTTACCTCTTCAGAAGGTGGTTAGACGGGATTAGGCCAGCACAGGTACCAAGGTCTGAGATTTTCCGGGCCTGCCACCAGAGTGCATCATTCTGGTCCACAATCTGGAGGATGTCGCCCTTCTGGAAAGGCAACCCTGCATCCACGCAGGGGATGGCAGGATCCTCCTGGGGCCAGTACTCAGTCATGGCACGAACGTACATCTGACAGGAGATATACAATGGAACCATCAGAGGAGCCCTTACCTATGGCTGTCAAGACTTAAAACCCTTTCTACCACACTTCCACCTCCTGTTCCTACCTCTCCATCCTCACCAAAAAGGAGAATGTCTCTCTTGAACTGAGTCTAAGAGCCATGAAAAAAAGTGACTTTGGGAATAGAATCTTTTAGCTCTGAGAAGTTTTTGCTTAAATGTTCACTCTTCTTGATGTTACTTCTTAACTTCTTGGTACCCCACCTCCTCTTATTGTACTCATCTATTGATTTCCTCTTGTGTCATCAGTATTTTTCAATATGCAATACAGAATTAAACAAATGTCCAACACATTATAGAGGACAGTGGTATGATACAAAGTATTTAGTCACTGTTACTGTTATCTGAGGACTTACTGTGTGTGATATGAAGGCTCAGTAAATTCTTACCATCTTCTGGCAATTAACAGGAGGATCAGAAACTGGAACCACCTTGAACATGATTGTGCCGCGAGACATGGCCTAGAAAACGCCAGAGGGGGAAGAATGACAAATCACAGAGTTCTCTGGGTCGCTAGGGTTTGACAGATGGAGCCACAGCTCACTGTGTCCAGGTCTAATGGTGACACCCCCAGAGGAACTTCTACAAGTGTTCAACAGCTACATATCACTACCCAGAAAGGAAATTAGAAAGAAATTTAGCTCTGCTCTGCTGCAGTGCTCCAGGGTCACTGGTCTGCTCAAACCCACACTGATGCCGGGTCTCTCCCAGGGACCCTCTATCTGGCTGCCATGAAGACCACCCCACTCAGCAAAGTCTTCTTCCCACAGGCCCTGGGGAAGGAGACAAGCTCTTGGTCCAACTTTGCCTCCTCATACCTCAGTCAGTAATTATTTCCTAAACATCTGTTCCTGCACCAGGCAGCCCGGTCTGATGGGGAAGATGAGGAACTCCCAAGTCTTCTGGGTGGACTGACAGGCTTCCAAGCTAATGGCGGGGATAGGGGGGCCCTCAAATATTTGTAGGACACACAGAAGCTCTTAGCCTGATGGGGGAGGTAAGAACCTCCCTGTCTCATACACTGTGACAGGCATTGGAGATGCAAAGATTAACAAGACCTCGAACTCACTCTCAGGAATTTCACAATCCCACTGTCCTGGCAGCTCCATGGCTGGCACCAAAAGGCTGAGATGGAGGCATGTGTGTTTGTGATTGACAGACTTTAAGCTCCCTTTGCAGTATCTTGTATACCATGCAGAATCTTGAAGCAGTGATGCAAAAATATGTAGGTGCTTAGTATATGCCTTATAATACCACTCCTCATCTCCATCCCTGAGGCACATCTATGAAAACAGAGGGTTCCCTCAGGAACCCAGTATGAGAACCACTAGTCTATATAATATATAGTAATTGAGCTCAGGCCCCGCACTTGGAGTGTGCATGGGGGAGATGGCTGCTTGGCTATTGACAACTGGACTGTGATTCAGGCAATGGTTTGAAGTGTGGGAATGGGGACCTAAGAGACTAAAGGGTCATATAATCAGGTCATAAATCCCCAGATCCAACCACCAAGGACAGTGGCAGGACCAACAAGGATGACTCCCTCCCCACATGCTGCCCTCTGATTTCATCTTTCCTACCCCAAAGCTGCCGCAAGGAAGCTGTTAAATGGATTCCAGCTGCATAAAAATGTTAGGAGAGCAAAGGGTGGTTTGCTCAGGTTCAGAGTCTCCTCTGAAGTCTCACTCTGCCCACCCCAGGCTCAGTTTCCAACAGAGGTGATAAGGGTGATGAGGGACCCGGGCTGCGGAACTGGCAGTCTTCCCGAGGCTGAAAGAGCAGCTTGGGAAGGGAACGCTCCCAGGAGGCACCAGATCTTCTGGGGGAAAGGGAGGGAGAAGTATGAGGTGAACAGAAACAGACAAGGTCTGGGGGCCTGCAGAAAGGAAGCTACTGAGAGGGAGCAAACCCCCTCATTGCAGTGCACACACCGTGGACTGGGCAGGCCCAGTTCAGCTGTGACACTGCGCTGAGTCATGAAGAAGGCAAAGAGGAGACTGTTACCAGAATGTGGATCACTTGCTCAGGGTCCAGCCCCTCCACTGAAACTCCATTCACTTCCACCAGTTTGTCTCCAGCATATAACAAGCCTGGGCAAACAAGAACACAAACCAAAGAAGGGTACAGAGAAATTGGCAAAAAATAGAGGCACTGTCCCAAAGCCATTTAATAAACTTGCTGACCCAAGCATGCTCTAACATTTTAAAATTTATTGTGAAATAACAGTAATAATGATAAAGCAAACTGGTTTCCTTTTTTCAACTCACACCACCACCAAAGTGCAGACGAATTGCGTTTTCCATCTCTTCACCAACACTGGGTGGTAACTGATGGTGACATTTTTATTTTTGCTAATCTGATATTTTAAAAGGGAACTGGAACACTGGTAAGAAGATAACACTAAAAATAAAGATGTCAGGGCCAGGAGTAAATCATAAAGGAAAAAGGGGGCATTCCTCAAAAGAGAAAATGTGGAGAAATTTGGGGTTAAGATCAAGACTTGAGAAATACGAGGTAAAAGGGTGGAGCTGTCAGAGAGAGGAGACAAGACACAGGATGAGGTCATGGAACAGAAACCAAGGATGATGAAAATTTCAAGAAAGTTGTGGTCAACAACATCAGATGTACTAAAGAAGTAAAAATAAAACTGAGGCCAAAGGAAGGGCCAGTGGGCTTAGCACCAAGGAAATCCTTTGGGTAATTACTCTAAGAATGTTGGGGTAACCCCTGGGCCAGGTTCCAGGGTCATGGGCAGTGAGGACATGGGGCAGCAGGTACAGAAGTGCTGGATTCAGAAGCACAGCAGGGAAAGGACAGAAATTCGGTTTACTGATAGAAAAGACAAGCAAAGGTATTTCAAGCTGGGCCTTTTTGAAAGCAGAAGACCAAGTGAGGAGTTAAAGTTGACAATATAGAGTGAGGCTGATCTGGACTTGAACCCAGACTCAAACTGTGACCTTGAGCTAGTTAGTTACCTAATCTCTTTGAGCTTCAGTTTCCTCATCTACAAAATGGCAGAACACTCACCTTGTTAGGTTGCCATGAGAATGTAAATATGGTGCCTAGAACGAGAGGGACTCAGGGAACAGGATTTCTCTGGAATATTTAGTCCTTCCTTCTTAGTAACCAAGCAATGGAACTTATTAAAGCCCCAACCTTAGTTAGGAAACAGCGGTTGCCTGGAAAGAAGACTGGACCATCAAGGGTTTCCTATTTTTCTGGTCACACTTGTATCCTGCTGCTCCAGCTTACCACTCCTCTCGACGAGCCCGCCGTGGATGACTCTGGCCACAAGGATGTCCCCTGTCATCTCATGGCGCTTGATGGTAGCTCCCTGGGAAGAGAGTAAACAGAATCTCTCTTTTACCTAACATGAGGTTTTCCTCGTGGCTTCTCTCAACATAGCTCTGGTCTTTCAGATGAGGGCATTCATACCAACCAGGGCCATACCATGCCATCAAAAACGAAAGGCCATTCAACCTTGGCCTACCAAGGTCTCTATCCAACCACACAGACATAAAAGAATATTTAGATCCTTCCAAAGATAAAGAAACCTCCCACAACTACAACCTAATCAAAGGGACTACTCTTAGAAAATCAAATTAATGCCTTACTTAGCTTACCATTAATAGAGGAAAAAAACTTAGGCAAATACATGGGAATTGAGTGAAATCTATGTCCATGTCAGAGAGCCAAATAATAAAATAAAATATATATCTTATTTCTCACAACTCTTTCAAAAGAGAAAAACACCAAGCAGAAATCTTTCCTAGTGACACATTTCAATATGTAATGTGTTTGAAACCACAGGCAAAAATCATTAAGACGAGTTCAGCCATTATTAACGTGGATTCCCCTCATTTTCTGAATGCCTCAAACTCTGTCTGTGACCACAAACAAGAATATTGCCCAAGTAACTACTAGGCTCACAATTAATTGGTCCACAATTAATCCTGGTATAATTCTAAATGAAAAGATAAAATGATTTCCTTACCAGGGGCTGTTGGTTTTTCACCAAACAAACAATTCTCATTGCTTCCTCACTCTCAGGGATATTGTCTGGCAGTGGGGGGAGAAGGGGTTCAAAATCTTTCTGAGCCACAGTGTCATGGGCACTGAGCAAGGCCTGGGAGCAGAGAAGGAAAAGGAGAACAATGTCACCCAAGGACACACCCATCTAGAAGATGGCGACCAAGAACTATGTAAGACACATGCCAAAACAACAACCAACCTGTACATGCCAGGCACAGTCCTAAGCAATTTATGTGAATTAACTCAATCCTCACAATAACTCTGGGAGGCAGGTACATTTACTGTCCACATTTTACAGATGAAGAAACCAGGCACAGAGAGGCCAAGTTTTATGTAATATACCCTTGCATTTCCGCTGAAATGTATTCTGTCACTTTCTGATTTCCTAGAAACCCATGGAATCCGTGGTGCTCCCATAACCATGAACTGCAAAACAACTTTTGTAATGTTTTTCCCAATTAAGGTAGAATGCGGGGCAGTAATCAAAACATGTCGCTGGTTCAGTTTGCCAGTGACTCCCAAGGGCCTATGTGGAAGAGAATGAGGAAAAGCAGTTCCCTGAGGTAGGGTGTGATCCAAGAGTTCTTTCTAATGGCCACCATGTCAAATTTTCACCTCATGGAGTGGGGAAGTTGTCATTCTATAGCCCTGCCTGAGACTGGTGGACAGAACTTTGTTGGAACTCAGAGAAAATTCTCTAGGGTTCAATCTTGTGAACTAAAATTTTTGACTCATAAATTCCATTGCTCCAAATGCAGACTTTCTCTTAAATTTCTAATTTATTGATAAACTGATCTCAAACTCTGCAGGTACCATGAGGTAGGTTTCTGTTCTGCAATCAAATGCTCTTCATACACCCCTCATGGAGTCAATCATCATTATACAGTATTTCCCAAATACCTTCACACACTTTACCCAAAACTTAAAATATCTGCAAGTTGGAAAGGAAGTATGCTACCCCGATTGCCCCCCAGAACTTTAGAGGGACAGTGGCTTTGCAGGGGGAACTGACACCATGGACAGTTGTAGATGCCTCCTCATAAATACGGCAAGCTTGGCTCCATGCGGATGACATTGAGCTAGTCACTTCTGAGCCCCACATCTTTAAGTACAATAATAAAACATCTGTTCAGAGAGCACATTTTCTATCACATTCCTCTCTTTTTCCCAACTTTGTCTATGGGCCAGATATCTTGTCTATTTTAGCAAGCACTTGCCTTAAAGTGTGGAGCCCTGAGGATTTGTCTCAGCTCTTTGATGTCAGGAGAATTAGGAGTTTCACGTAATATCTCCATTACCTGGTTGGTGGAAAAGCATATGTTGTGAAATGTTTAAAAATCTTCATCACCTAGTTAACCTCACCCAGGCTGGATAACAGATATACTGACTAGCATGATATTGACCTAAGAAAGCTGTTATTGAAGGCTTCTTTTTCATCTTTAAAGTCAGGGCCTGGGGTCCTTCCTTATTCACTAAACTTTACTACAGCAGGTAGAATCCAAGATTTGGGGTAGATCCAAACCCCTGTGCCCCAGTCTCGGCACATCACAGGCATGGAAGAAGAGCTAGCATCACTTTGTAACATCACATGCACCAAGGCAACTCCCCTCCAGTGGCTCTACGACAGCTATTTGCTGATATGAATCTTGACGGGTGGGTTACGGGATCTGAGTTCTCCAGGTACAGGCTCACATACCTCAAGAACTCAGGTAGCTTAATCCCATGGGATGTTCCATTCTTCAACTGGAAAAATGGGAATAGTAGTTTATATTTTAGGGCTTTTTATTTGATTAGTAATTTTAATGGTTTTTTTTTTTTTTGAGGAAGATTAGCCCTGAGCTAACTGCTGCCACAATCCTCCTCTTTTTGCTGAGGAAGACTGGCCCTGAGCTAAGATCCGTGCCCATTTTCCTCTACTTTATATGTGGGATGCCTGCCACAGCATGGCTTGACAAGCAGTGCTTAGGTCTGCACCCGGGATCTGAAATGACAAACCCCAGGCTGCCGAAGCAGAATGTGCGAACTCAACCATTGCGCCACCAGGCCGGCCCCTAGTAATTTTAATGTTTGTTGCAATAAAAAAGTGCTAAACAGAATAAATTCTGACCTCTTTGATGTGGTTTAGGTGTAAACCTGCTTCCTGACAGGCCATAAGACCTTTAATCACTCCATGAATCTTCAGCAGTTGAGCATCTCTACCTATGGCCAAGTGAAAACCAGCAGTTTGCTAAGCTTTACGTCCATTCGCTAGGATTACAACTGAATAAAATACCATGTGTGTGTTTTCCTTTGGACAACTGAGAACAACTTGAGTTGTTGATTACTGGAATTGAGGGTACACTTTTTCTTCTTTTTTTCTATTCATTTTAATATGGTTTGGGCAAAAAATAATAAAAAGGATTACATTTATTTGTCCATTCAACAAATATTTGTTGAACATCTACCATGTGCCAGGCACTGTTGTAAGTGATGCAAATACAGCAGTGAACTGTCAGACAAAAGTCCCGGTTCTCATGGACTTTATGTTCTCGTGAGGAGATACCGACCACAAATAAAATACATAAGTACATAAAAGAAACAGTTGTATTTGATGGTGAGGAGAGTTTAAAAAAAATAAAGCAGCGAAGGTAGACAGTGAGTGCTATGGACTGTAGTCTTAGATGGGGTGACAGAGAAAGCCTCAGTGAGAAGGTGACATTTTGAGAGGAGACAGAAGGAGACAAGGAAGCAAATCACATGGATATAAGGGCAAAAGTGTTCCTGACATAGAACAGAATGAGGACAAGGGCTGCTGCAGGAGCACGTCCAGTTCAAACAACCCCAGGGGTTCATCTGGCTGGAGCAGAGTGAACAAGGGGACAGCAGAGAGTGGACGTCAGAAAGGTGGTGGGGGCTACATTATGTTCGGTTCTGTAAGAACTTTGATGTTTACCCTGAGATGGGAAGTCATTGACCGGGTCTGAGCAGAGAAGTGACATGACTTGACTAGCCTTTAAAGGGTATCTCTTGGGGCCAGCCCAGGGGCATGGTGGTTAAGTTCACGTACTCCACTTCACTAGCCCAGGGTTTGTGGGTTTGGATCCCAGGCACGAACCTACACACCGCTCATCAAGCCATGCTGAAGTGGCATCCCACATACAAAATAGAGGAAGATTGGCACAGATGTTAGCCCAGGGACAATCTTTCTCAAGCAAAAAGAGGATGATTGGCAACAGATATTAGCTTGGGGCCAATCTTCCTCAACAACAAAAAAAAAGAGGGGGGAATCTCTTCAGCTGCTGTGCTGGGAATAGACTACAGAGGACTAGAGAAGAAGGAGGCCAGGCAGGAGGCTACACTGCAGTCGTCTATCTAAGAGATGACGATGCTTACGTCAGGTGGCAAAGTGGAGGTGGGGAGATTCTGGACATATTTTGAAACTAGAGCTGACAGATTGGGTGTAAGGTATGAGAGAAAGAGAAAATCAAAGACAACCCCAAAGACTTTGGGCATGAGCACTACAAGAACAAAGATGTCATCACCAAGACAGAAAATGTTGGGAGAGGAGTGGCTTTGGGGGTGGGGAGATCAGGAGCCCCGTCTGGGACAGGGTAAGTTTGAGGGGCCCATTGAACATCATATAAATAAGATGGGGAGGAGGCAGTTGGGTATGAGGGTCTGGAGTCCAGGGAAAGAGCCCAGCTGGAGATATGAATTTGGGAATCATGAGTATAACATCACCCTGTTTACACAGGGTTCATTGAATCCAAGGTTTAGAGAAAAAAGGAAAAATATGCTAAAAATGTTATTTCTGTTAATTTCTTTTAATTTGGGGAGACAGCAGGCCAATTTTCTTCTTTCCATTAAAGCTCAATGAGAAACACTTATTAGATGCATAATCCTCAATCAAACGTCTCCGTTAAAGCCTTAATTCGTTTACACGAGCACTATGAGTGGAACGGCGCCACGTTAAAGCTCTCCTCTTCTGCGGACTGACAGTCATCTTACCTCACAGGATACGGCCTGCGCGCGGGGCATGGTGGGTGCAGGCTTCCTTTCTTTGAATTCCTGGAGGGAGTCATACACCTGCAGAAGGGCCGGGTGGGAATGGCATCATGATGACATGACTGTATCATTTTGGATTTAAGGCTCTCCATGGGAAGAAACGCCCTGGACAACGGCACAAGCAGCCAAGTAGCACATGTGTGGTGGTCTTAGTAAGGTGTCAAAGAGAAATGCACTCAAGTTTGGTGGTCCTAATCCTTCAAAGGCTTGAGTACTGGTTGCCACTAGGAATTGATTTTCCCCAACCAATACAGTGACCAAAAAAAAATTGAAACTTCCACTCTTGGTAAACTAAGCAAGAGTGGGGTTTCCAGCATTGAGACCAATAGGGGTCTGGGGCCAGAGACTGGTAAGAACCTCTGCACTGGGCAGCTGCTCAGGGCCTGAGCCACATGGACCTGAAGGGGAGGCCGGGCACGAGATATTGCTTGTTTGTACCCTGCTCTTATCTTTTGTTTGCTTTTCCTCCCTTAATTCCCCAGTAAAATTTCATTTATAAAGATTCCAACTTCGTCTCTGCTGACCTGTGGGAATTTTTTTCCACACCAGGATCTAGAGTTGGACTGAGCACACCAAAGCCTGCCCAGCTCCACGGTGCAGCCGCAGTCTTATTTTAGGAATCTAGTTTCTCTTACAGATGGAGAAATGAGGTCCACGAGGCCAGCTCAGCCCAGCTCTCCTCCATCAGACGTGGGATGACGGTGCTTCCCTGCTCTACCTCGGTGCCAGCGCTCAAGTTTACCTGGGTGTGATGAAGGCTGACGGATCGAGACAGGGAGCACAAAGCACAACCAGCCTACCAGTGGTGAGCAAAGGTCACGACTTCAGTGACCTTGAAACTCCTATTTCAGCTAATCCCAGGAGGAAAAAGTGCCTAGTAGAAATCAGGTAGTTTTTTCTCCCCCCAGCTTTATTGAGATATAATTGACAGATAACACTGTGTAAACTTAAGGTGTACAGCTTATTGATTTGATATACGTACATATTGCAAAACGATTACCACAATAAGGTTAGTTAACACCTCCATCACCTCGCGCAATTACCATTTTGTGTGTGTATGTTGTCACAACAATTAAGATCAACTCTCTTAGCAACTTTCAAGTACACAATACATGATTGTTAAATATAGTCCCCACACTGTACGTTAGATCCACAGAACTTACGTATCTTATAATTGAAAGTCTGTACCCTTTGACCAACATCTCTACATTTCCCCCAGCCTGTGGCAACCACCATTCTACTCTCTGCTTCTATAAGCAACTCATTTTTAGATTCCACATACAAGTGAGATCATACTTGAGATCAATAATACAAAAAAAAAGAATACAAAGAAAGTATTTGTCTTTCTCTGTCTGACTTATTTCACTTAGCATAATGCCCTCAAGGTCCATCCATGTTGTCACAAAAGGGGAGATTTCCTTCTTTTTTAAGGCTGAATAATATTCCATTATATATCCCACTTCTGGGTATATGTCCAAAGGAAATGAAATCAGTATCTCAAAGAGAAACCTGCATCGCATTTTCAATGCACATTATTCACAAAAGCTAAGACATGGAAAAAAACCCATGTTCAACAACGGATGAATGGAAAAGAAATCAGGTGTTTTAAAACAAGTGCTACGAGGAGTACTTCCTTGCTCATGCTAAAGATGATGCCACTTTTCTCCTATCTTAAAGAATATAACATTAGCATGTGTCACAAGGCTGACCACACTTTACACTTAAGTGAAGGAAACACCCACATCCCAGAAAATAACTTCAAAACGATCTTTCTTGACAATAACATTTGCTCGGAAGAACAAAATTAGTCAGATAGTAGATGCTACTGTATAGTGCATAAAATTTTAGCTGAATTTAAAAAAAGAAGAAATCTCCAGTGTAAGAAAAACTTAAGATACCTAAACAGAACTGTAAATATCTCATTTCCTGGTCTTAAATAACAAAGAGGAATAATTTTGTAACAGCATTTTTATTTATCCTGAGTTGTCCTCAAGGACAAAGGGCTGTAGATGGCTACTAAGGGTGATGGTGATGGCCATTTGTGGTCCCAGGGACCTCTGGAGGAAGAGGAGTTTGTGGAGAAGAAAGGAGCTGCCATAGTCTTTTCCACCTAAGTTAATTCCTTCCTCAGCTAAGAGGCTTGTGTAGCTCTTTTCTGAGGATTGCCTTCTAAAAACTTTTTCCAAGTTGAAGTCTCTTGCCAACTGACAAATGTGACATTGTTGGACAAGCAGATTCTGCCTCCACAGTGAGCAAGGACTTCTAAGCCACAGAGTGCTCACCTTCAGCAGAGCCTGCAGCCACGGGGAGTTGAGGAGGTCGTACAGGAGACACACGCCATTCACGTCCCGGCTGTAGAACAGATTCAGCTCTTGCAGCACATGCCTCAGGATTTGGGAGAGACCTGGGAAAGGGAGAGGGCAGAGATGGTGGAAGGAAAGGTAGGTGTCAATATGAAAGATGGCTCAGCTGGGACGTGCCGCAGGGGAGCCTGAGCAGAGGAGGGATGCTGGATGTAAGGCCGAAAGATCTGCCTTTAAGCCCTATTCTATCACTTACCACGTGAGCTTCAGAAAGCCACCCAACTGGCTGAGACCCAGCTTCCGGTGGCATAGTGAGAACATGCTAGCTTTCCCATGGGGTTGTTGCCAACATGAGATGAAATAATTGCTCACAGTACACAGATGGAAGACTTTGTGAGAGCAATATTGCTTTCCCCTCACCAATCTTACTAGCTTCTGGTTTATTCCAAAATTACCTAGGCATTTTCTGGATCCTCCCTCTCTAATTCAAGCATAGAGTCATTTGTCTTTCCCTTTTCTGAAAATTCTTATTGAAAAATTCCAATTCTCAATAGGTTTTTAATACAAATCTCACGATTCCACTGACTAAAGGGACTGAACAATTTTAGTGAATCCTTGATGTTTTTACAAATGCTTTTCAAAGAAATTCTATCTGTTGCAGTGATATTCTGAATGTGAACAATTTGTGAAGTTCTACATTTAAATAAAACACCGTGGGGTAGTGAAAAAAGAGGTTCTGAATCCACTGTGTCAATTTCTTTCCTTCCTCCTTTGAAAGTTGCTTACACTTAACGCCAATAGATGTGGTAGGACAAGCTACTGAAAGGAATCACAACACGTCTATCAGAATTTCTACCCCTAAATTTAGAGTGATAGTATAAGGCCCTTCTGGTCTAGAAAACGAACCCCGGCACCACATACCATTCTTCGGATTGGTTGCCATAGAAAGTGTCTTGTCCTCCTTGTCTGGCAGATCTGCTCCTCTGTCTGACTGTATCATCCTCCCTGCCCGAGCTTCCAGAAGGAATTCAGAACTAGGGAGCAGATCAACACACAGCTCACTAAACCACGCTAGAAGGCACTTTATCTTCAACAGCATTTACTGAACAAGTCAGGCACTCGCTGCACAATGGGATCCGCGTCAATGACACAGTCCTGCCCTGTGGTGCTTTCTCTCTAAACTAACCATACCGGCTGTGAAAGAGAAAACCACTATTTCACAAAACACTCTTCCTACTCCCCTCCTGTTTTAACGAGTGACAAGAAATGTTACTTTTGTTTATTTTTCATCTCTTTGCCTCACTGATTTTACCACTGTCCGGAGCACAGAAGAGCCTCCCCTGGCCTGCCCCACTCCGTCCCGTTCCCACTCGCCGTACCTATACTTCTTCATGGCACCGATCACAACTGCAAGACTTACGGGTGACTGCTGAGGCGTCCTCTCAGAGTCTATTTTCTACATTGTCTTAGGAAGGTTTAGTTTCAAGAAACAGAAACCCCAAGTAATAGTGGCTTAACAGGGCAGAAGTTCGTATCTTGCTCCTGTAAAGTCCAGAGGCAGTGAAAACCCAGGGCTGGTCGGGCAGCCTTGCTGCATGAAGTCCTCAGAGAACAGGCTCCTTCCAGCTCACTGTTCTACCACCCGGGCGTGGTGTGCTTCTCATCTTCCTGCTCCAAGATGGTGGCTGGAGCCCCTGCCAGCACTTCTACATTTCAGCCAGCAGGATGGGGATTAAGAAAATGAGGGCAAAGGGAACATGCCCAGTGCTCTTTGAGGAGGTTTCACAGAAGTTATCCTACAGAACGAGAAAACACCTCACGCCCTGCATAACTTTCAAGTGCTCTGCTAGGCTTTCATGTTGCCGGAAAAAGAAAAAAACCTTATAATTATCTGAGTCTAGAACCCATTTTTTTTTTTTAACATTAAACACAAAGCATTTTTGCAGTTTTAATATACATTGAACTTTCTGGAATGCTACTACCATAATCAAAGAATGAATTACTTTGTTTTGCTTGCTAAAGTTGTTCACGATTTCAGAAAGCCATGTCATTAATGGTAACGCTGCTCATGGTAACTAGAGTGCTGCTACCACACTCCACCATCAGGCTGCACCTGTGTCTGCATCCAAGGCTGCTGCACCCTGCTGGATTACTTTATGGGTGCAAACATGTGTTACTTCATCATATCTTTTGGGGTAGTGATAGCCCATATTTACATATTGAAATCTATAATGTCTTATCAACTACATTTACTTAATTTCCCCTTTTTGTTATTACTAGAGCACTATATATACGGATTTTTTTTCTGAAGCTGTGTGTAAGTGTCTTAGTTTGGGTTCCCCCAGAATCAGACATAGAGCAACCACTCTAGTGAGATGATTCGTTTGGAAAGTGATCCCAGGAAACATCTGAGAGTGGGGTATTAAGTCAGGGCAAGGGCAAAAAGCCCGTAAAAGGTGATTCAAGCAAGTAGCCACTCTGGGCACCATGGAGCTTAACCCCATGGGGGACTAGGGACAAGGGAGTGGGGGTGTTTATACACCGACGCTGCCAGTCATTGGAAGGGGCTTCTGCCTGCAAGCATTACCTCTGCCCTTTCAGCCCGCCGCATGCATACTTTCAGACAGTGCGTGCAGGTGCCGGCGCTAGAAGTTGGCCCAGAGTGCACAAAATGGTAGGCACCAAGGAGCTGTGGTAGGGTCCCAACAGCATTTGTTACAGTAAGATAATAAAGGACAAATCAGGGTTAAAAAAAAAAAAAGGAGCATCTCCAAATAGTTGTTAAAGATTGGGTTATTGAATCTGATATGGGTGAGAACTGCTGTTTAGAGTCCAGACTGTGGCATCGAGCCAGGGAGGCTATCTGGATAAAACCAGATCGTCATCATGCTGTCTCCAAATTCCAAGGCAGTGAGAAGAGCAACACAGAAAGCTGTTACGGAATTTTGGTCAACTTTCTCTTACACATTATTTTCCAGTCACACTGAATTATTCAAGGGCACTGGATTCTATCAAAACTTGGTGTCTTATGGTTTTGCCTTGCCTGCCACCACCCACCCCACCCAGCTCCAGCTGAGTCAGGCTAAACCCTGCCTTTCCCTGGGTTCCCAGTTTTGAGCCTCTGTTGAATCATTTAGCACAACAGTTGCGTCTATGACTCATCTTGCCCCCTAGAGGGGAGCACTTCGAGGGAAGGGATGGAAAAGGCAGATGCTGTGTCTGCCAGACAAAGTCAGAGCAAACAGATGGGTCTGACACAACACCTCCATGTCCAGGCACCCTCCAAAATCTGCTACCCTAAGGGTGTCTCCCAAAGCATCGGTCCTTGGTGAGGCAGTTTCGATTAAGCAAGCCAACGGCAGTCTGTGCCGCATAAGGTGGACCACATTTCTTCCATATGTAATGCCATATTTCAAGACAGTGTGCCAAAGTGCGCCTCCCCATGCAGCAGACAGGGGCACTAGAGACTAAGATTCCTGAGATGAACTTACTGTGAGGGAGCTGTACAGACAGAATAGCGAATTTTATTATTAAAATAGCTTCTAATGAATCTACAGCCCACTCCGGGCTACATGGATAACTAATTCATATATGCTAAAAGGCTCATTTTCTGGGCCATAAAGGCAAAAAGATTAATTTTCATCTCCACTATTTAGGTGAAGTCTAAAAACTGTGCTCGTCTCAGGTTTCTGTGACAAATTTGCTATGGACTGAATTGTGTTCTCTCCAAAATCATACTAGAAGCCTTAACCCCCAATGTGATGGTATGTGGGGATGGGGCCTTTGAGAGACAATTAGGTTTAGATGAGGTCAGGCATGAGGGTGGGGCCCTCATGGTGGCATTAGTGCCCTTACAAGAGACACCAGAGAGCTTGCTCTCTCTCTGTATGCAATGTGGGGACACAGCGAGAAGGAGGCTGTCCCCAAGCCAGGAAGGGGGACCTCATCAGAACACAACTATGCTGGTACCCTGACTTCCAGACTCCAGAACTGTGAGAAAGTAAATTTCTGTTGTTTAAGCCATCTATTCCCTGGCATTTTTTTATGACAGCCCATGCTAAGACAAAAATTCAGAGGAGGAAACCCCAGAAAATGATTTACCCTCCCTCCCTCCAGGTGGCTAAGAAAACTGTTGTGACCTATGGTCCTCAGAGCACTTACCATGCTTTGCAACTCTCTCATGCATTAACCCACTCAGTGTCCAGCTCCCGTGTGGCCACGTCTGCAGAGGGTTGGAGAGCAGACACCTTGCTCGTCCTGTTCAGTGGTAGCCTCAGCACCTGTAACAGTGCTTGAGTCATAGCGAGCACTCAGTATTCCCAGTTGTTGCTGGGAATGGGCAGAAAAAAGGGAGGCCAAGATACCCAAGTAAAAGGCTAACACCTCCCCAAGGAGTTTAAGAGCAGCTGGGACATCAATCTTGAAGGGGAGGCAGTGGGACTCCAGAGGAATGTGGGCCCCCTCTCCTTCTCAGACATCAACCTCCTTCCCTATTGTACCCCCCTCCCTTCTCAGACATCAACCTCCTTCCCTATCGTGCCCCTCCCCTTCTCAGACATCAACCTCCTTCTCTATCGTGCCCCCCTCCCCTTCTCAGACATCAACCTCCTTCCCTATCGTGCCCCTCCCTTCTCAGACATCAACCTCCTTCCCTATCGTGCCCCTCCCTTCTCAGACATCAACCTCCTTCCCTATCGTGCCCCTCCCCTTCTCAGACATCAACCTCCTTCCCTATCGTTCCCCCCCCTTCTCAGACATCAACCTCCTTCCCTATCAAACTCTGAAACCAGAGGCTGACAGAGAACTTGGAGATAATCAAACACATTCTTCATTTTACAGATAAGGAATCTGAAGTTCAAAGAGGTATTCAGTATTAACAAGTAGTAAAATCAAAAGTTTTCCTCTTTTTTTTCCATAATTATTCCAGAAAGATGCTAGTGCCTGGCAAAAGACTGGTGTCTCTTCCTTGCCTTCCGTTTCAAGACTCCTGCATCAACTCTGTCAGTTGAGACTTACGCATTTCTGCTGTCTTGAGAACGAGAATTCTTGACTGAGACTGCAAGTAAGTAAATATCCAACCACATGCAATTCTGCACTAATTAAGTAACATTGGAAGGATAGCCAGTTCTTATCATTAACTTAGAAGCTGCATTAGTGTTACCGATTTCTAATGAATTTGCGCTACACATTAGTTTAAAAGTTATATTTCCATGAAAGTTTTACAATGTAATAATTACTATTAAATGACAAATCCCCTTCCCCTACTATGCTCATTTTTCAAAATAATGCTTTCTACTAAACAAAGCCCAAGAAAGCACCTGAAAACTTAACAATGAGAAATGGCCCATACTAAAATGGCTGGCTTCATCTGGGTCAAAACGCTGTTGATTAGGACTCGGAGAAATGCTCCATTCTATTGAATTTCCATATCACTCATTATTCCCTACTTAAGAAATGGCTTCTCAAAATCTGCTCTTTTGAAATCATAATTTGGGTTATGATGAATACATTTCAATTAGATTATCCAGAATTGTATCTTCCTCCATATAATTTGGGTTATGATGAATACATTTCAATTAGATTATCCAGAATTGTATCTTTAGCTACTAACAATTGACAGAAAGGCAGCCTTTATAGGCGATCTCTTCTGGTAACTGAGGGTTATTCGGCAGGGTCTCTTACCTGCAGGACTGCAAACGTGCAACGTTGCTCCTGTTCAGAGGAAAGCTTTAGGAGAAAATATTAGTGGGCTATTAGCTGCCAAAGTCACCTCGCTGTTCTGGGTAAAACCGCTGCACATCCTCTTTGATTCAATCCACAGACGCCTAAGCCAGCCCAACCACTAAGTTACTCACAAGCCGCCCCATCACAAATCTTCTTAGGTATCCCTTGCACTGAACGGCCTAATTTATATCATTTTCAACCTTCACTTTAGTATTTTCTCTAATTGCCAGCATATAGTTACATCTAAAAAGATTGATACTTTTGTTGACTATTTCAGGAGAACAGACTCTCCACCAGAAAATGGCATTTTTTATTTTAATGAAAGGGACAACTGTGGAGATGTCTGAGAGTAAGCTGACATATTAATCTTATTTTCTCACACTATGGTGAGAAACCAGTGGAAGACTCTTCAGCCAATAACAATGAAGCCTATAAAACAGTTCCTTCTGGAAGGCTCCCTATCAAGCCACAGTTCTGAACTTAATAGTCCATCTGTCTCAGATTGGAGCTACTAATTATCTGAAAATTTTATTTTGCAGGGAGGGGTCAGTGGGAAGAACCTTTAGAAGCAGACATCACAGAAAGAACAAGAGGGCACTGCTGACAGCAAGGCCAAACGTAAAGACCAAGGGGCCGCTGTCAGAGGTTTATCCGCCCTTTATCCTAAATTAAACCTACAAGCTTTCCTTTGCTCTCCAGTGTGGATGAAAAAAGGTAGGAATGTGACACATTGGTGACTGTTTGAGCACAGGATATTCTATCAAGAGCACTTAATTTTATTAAAAGTTTTCATTTTCAAGTCAATTTTTACTTTACGACCTTCCAATGCATAACACAGCCTTCGAATGACATCTCTGGCAGGTGTAGTAAGCAAGAGCACTGCAATCAGAGTAGGGAGGTTCTAGGCTGGAGTCCCAGCTCCAACAGTGAGCTGACCACAGCCACTCCTTGTCTGCAGAACAGGGCTCCTGGGGTTACCACCTGCCGCCCCAGGGCTGCTGTGGGCACTCATCACGCCTGCTGCATGAGTGCCAGGTGTTTCTCTGTATAGACACTGGCCTGGAGACAGAGGTTTCTCCCCCAAGAGAAGTGAGAATTTATAATTTTAATACGCTATCTGAAAAGTATAAATATAATGTGAAGAATCTAAGGTAACTGGACAGTTTCATTCATGACTCCAATAAAAGCATGAATTGTAACTTTTTTTTTCAGAATTGAGACAGCCTACCATCATTTGAGAATTTCTTAGTGGGTCTCAAGCTTTTCTCTGCCCATCTCCAGAGTTATCTCTCTCTCTCACAAGGTCAAAGACATTCAGTAGCCTTTTCAAGCCAAATGTGGAATTTGTGTTTATTCAAAAGTCAAAACAATCCTTAATGGAAACGCAAACTTTAACATAATCTTTTCTTTTTTCCTGCTTTTTCTCCCCAAACCCCCCCGTACACAGTTGTATATCTTAGTCGCAGGTACTTCTAGTTGTGGCATGTGGGATGCCGCCTCAACGTGGCCTGATGAGCGGTGCCATGTCCGTGCCGAGGATCCGAACCCTGGGCCGTCGCAGCGGAGCGCAGGAACTCAACCACTCGGCCACAGAGCCCGCCCCAAACATAAACTAATCTTTAAGTGTTGATCTCTTTCCAACAATGGGCGGGCAGGCACATTCTGGGAGAAAGCAGCCGTGAGAGGGAAAGGCTTCCTGAGACATTACAACTGGTAGATGATAACTAAGGCCTAATATTTCTAACCAGAATTTTAAATCCTCACTCTTCCCTTCCCTGAGTCCGTTGAGGAAAAAAAATAACCTATAAAAATATGCCTTTTAGTCAAAGAAATAATCGATTTTTTTAAAAAGCCTTGTCCTTGGGTTATCAGGATCAGAAAGTTAATTTGTTTTTGCCAGCAAAGGTGCTGTAAGTTTATGTTTATTTAAAGAGAGCAATCTCTTTAACCTCAGAGGGACCTTTGAAGCCAATATGAAGAGGAATGGATTACAATGTGGGCAAAAAAAATACTAGGCCTGGATTTCTTTTAAATTTTTAGGCTGCCCTGTGTCATTTCTTTTGCAATCATAAAACAATCTCATAAAGATGAATGTCTTTTATTACGAAAATTGCTGTTACATTACAGCCAACATTCCAAAACAGTATTTCAATAAACACTTGTCTTGATTATAAAGTAGAGCAGAAACCATGATCCTTTTACAAAATTGATTAACATCTGCTGATGTTAACATCAATCAGGAGGACTCCGTATGCTCACCAGGATGTGTGGATGAGATGAGGAAGAGCACCTATGTTATTCAAAACAGCTACTAGTGTTACTTGTACAGTGTAAATCAACCACTTACAATAGGACATTAAAAAAAAAAAAAGGCAAAAAGCAAAACACTAAAACATTGAGGTGTCACAACACTTTTGAGATGGGAAAAGCCAAAGCTTGTTTCCTTTCTCTTCCCCTCTGTGAGTTCAGTGCGAGGTATAGGGAAGAACCACAACACCAGGTCAAGGAGGGATGCAGCTCTTTGCGTCCACATCCCCAGTCTGTAGTCCTGCTCCCAAACGCCTGCGTGCAAAACCTTTTTGGGCTCTCATTCACAGGCCTTGGGACACAGTGTCTGCACATGGACGAGTGAGGGTCCACAGCAGCTCAGAGTCAGTGTCTGAATTCCAGTGTATGCACTCTGTAGCACTGTAGGGAAACCAAGAGCACAACTCCCATGTTCTTTTCATCAGCAGGCAGAAACTCTCATTTGGATGCATTCCATGTTTGGGGTCAGGGTGCGGCAGTTACTACATAGAACCTCTCCCATTATGAATATCCTGGTGGAAAAGCTTAGAAAGAGTTAAAACTGCAGTTTAAAAGTTCCTCTTTCCCCTCCCTCAGCAAAGAAGCTTGATGCACACATGATTGCAAGGAATTTAGGAAGGCATAGTGTGGCTACTGTAGTTTCAAGTACAATCTGCTCCTTGCAAAGGTTTGGGGCAACTGCAGGCAAACCAGAAACTCAAAAATATTCACCAACTTCTTAAACATAAGAAGTTATACTGAGAACTTTGTTTACAACTTCATGTAGCTGGCATACTCGTAATGTAGAAAGGGATATCCTCTTTCTCCAAACAGTAGATGTGATATTTTGGGAACTTAATAGGCCAGGTATAGGACTAATCTGATTTTCACCTCCTTTTCAATCCTCCCTTTAAACTACACAGTCTTTTTTCTTTTAGGCTCAGGGCTGTGATCATTAGTGAGGCTCAGAAATAACCAAAATAATATAATGTCCTAATTTCAACATCACTCTTTTTTGCCACTACAGGAAGACGCCAGATGGTGCTAAAACCCTCTGTGTAGATAATCCAGTTGTCAAGCTGTTATGCGGCCTAGTTAAGCTTCTCACGCTGGATCTGGTAGTAACATGCCTGGAAAAAAGTTCAAAACAATTTCAAATTTACTTTGAAAGAAATTACATAAACATAGCAAGGCACATGGGACTGAGGAAAGGAACCCCTTGTTGATACTGAGGGCCCACCAAAATCAGGTGCTTTCATTTTCCCATTTTCTTCCAGTCCTCCATCCAATGTCTAATTTGCCCAGTTGTAATTAGTAGAGATAAAATTTTGTACATTTTCCTCTAATTCTAGAACAAACTTTTCACAAGTTGTATAATATTCTTCACTAAGTAGAAATACCATAATTTACTAAGCCACTATTGATTGGACATTGAGAATATGCTGATTGTGACAAGGTACCCAAACAACTGTTATCAGAATTACCTCATATGTCTGATCAACATACAGATGAACTATCATTCCAGATCTAGGGAGTCAGAATTTCTAGGAATATATTTTTAAGAAGCATCCCCAGGTGACTTTTAAAGTATCCAGGTTTAGGAGTTACTCATACTACAAAGAATACCTCAGCCAGATAATATATAATGTTTCCCATTCTTATTCCCTTAGGATAAATCTCCAGGAGTAGGGTCACTCAGGCAAACTCCACAGACATTTCAGGTGTTGATGATATCAACGTTAATAACAACTGTTTTCCAAAACAGTGATTGTTATTTAATCCATTATTGGCAATGTGGGAGTAATACTGATATCACTCTAACCAATCAGCACTAGGTATAATTTTAAAACATTTTTGTCAATTTAGTAGGCAAAAAATGGCACCTTATTTAAATCTGCAGTCCTGTAATTTTCAGTAAGGCTGAGTATCTTCCTACAGATAAATGTATTCATTCAATTTCTTCCTTGGTGATATGTTTAAAGATGCTCTTCATATAACATACATACTAATAATGTAAGTCATTGGTGGCCAATATTTTCCCCAGTTCCCCACCTTTTCAGTTTAGTTTTTAGAAATGTTAATAGTATTTAAGTTGTATAGTTTAAAAAATTAACCCAAGCCAGAAACCTGACATGAAATTCCAATTTTTTCTCATTTTAATTTGCCTGCCTTTCCTTCTCTCTTCTTTTTTCTATATTTAAACCCTAAAACATCTGCAAGTTGCTATGTGGGTGAGTCCATCCTCCCTGCAAAACTGCTAATAAACTATCCCAGTATTTTGACCATTTATTAAATAATTCCTCTCTTCTCCATTTTTGTGTTTGAAGTTTTCATTTTCATATGTGAAATATTTTTTTATAATACTGCCTGTATGGGGGCTATCCTTTCCATTTAGATATTTTTTGTCTATTCCTGTGACAGTAACAAATCATCTTATCTTAATTACTGTAATTCTATATTTTACTAACTGGCAGAGTGGGTCTGTTCGCACTCTCTTTTTTCAGAGGTGTTTTTGTCACTTTCTATTTGTTGTTCTTCTGATAACTTCAGAATGATTCTATCAAATTCCAAGAAAAATCAAGGTGGGAGAACTAACATGACTTCCAACAATCTCCAGAGAGCACCCAGATCAAGGAACTTCATTTGTAACCTACTGGTTACAATAAACACATGGAAAGAAAGACGATGCAATTCACGCTGGTTCAATACATACTGACTTCTGTGTTTTACCTTAGTTCCATGAAACAGCTCTACTGTTGGAAACTTTTTTGGACACTAAGAATCCTTTTTCTTTCTTTTCTAGAGTTACAATTATATAGAAAGTCTGCATTTATAAGCATTTGTAACAATTTGAATGATCAATTTACAGGGAAGACTGGGTAGTGAATAATTTGCTTTAGTATTAAGAATAACTAACTCATTCTACTTAAATACATTATCATATTGAAAAATATTAACAATGTGTGCTCTAAAGGCACAATGTTTACATTCAACTTTTACATAAGGAAATGGTTAATGACAGATTTATAATTTAGTAAATGAAAGACAAATTTTAAGATAAAATAATCAATAATACCTACACTTACCTTCAAGGTGGTGAACATTATACCCTGTTCCCCATGCTGAAGATAGGGGTCCATTAGGTCCTCAATGAGGTGTACCTCGGAACCTAAATTCCTAATCCTGACCCAAAGAGAAAAAGATACTGAGTTATTTACGCTCGTATGTGCATCCTCCTTTTGAATCTATTTGAGGGGAAAAGAAAGAACAGCTCAACAAAGAGGAAATACCACGGTGGAATGGGTTAACAGAGTGGGCTTCTTCTAATGGGGGAGCATATTCCTCCCATCTGTTCAGAAAAAGCAAGGGGCAGACTTGTCAAAATAATGTCACTAATACTAAAGTCAGAAAAGATTGGTCACCTGGCCCGTAGCACCACATATAAGAAAACAGGAAACAAGTCATCCATGGACCACAGGAAGTCTTCTTGAAGTGATGCCAGGACACTCTGAGAGATCTCCTCAAACGTCTGCTGGATGACTTTAAGTTTGTCTGATGGGGTAAATGTTGTGCTGTCGTAAAAAAAAAAAAAAAAAATCCTATAATTTTCTCATAGGGGCATTTGATACTAATGTTTTTATAATATGCTCTCTTTGGGCTCATGTGCCTTAACTTGGACACATCAGGCATAATGAGTTGCTGGAAGGGATGACTTTGTAATCCTACGGTTCTCTGAGAAAAGAAGCGTCTAAGTACCTATGGTTCATATGGAAGATTCACCAAGTCATAGATCATCTCTTTTACCCCTGTGGAATCTTATTTTCCTAATACATGCTGTTCTCTGTGTGAGAAGTTTGGTTAGTTTCCATTTGGCTAAAGATGGGATTATGCAGATAAATTTCTGGGTAGGATCTCCATGACTTCTGAAAATGCAAGGGCCTCCTCGACTAAAAGGTAACCAAATATCTCAGAGGAGACTTCTCTTCCCCAGGCTGAGTCTGCCACCACCTGGGAGTGAAGGGGCGCTCAGAGCTTAGGGAAGGTAAGATCTCATTCATATCTTCAAAGACTAACCACACTCTGATTTACGTGAGTTTTCAACAAATCAGAGATTACCTGATCTGCTGTAGACATTCTATGGCTGAGGCAAAACAAGCATCTTTTGTGGTTGGCAAAATCTGCAAAAAAGAATTTATGACGGTCAAAGAAGAAAGCTGTCTTTTGCAGTAACAATAAAAATAAATGACACCAATGGCAGGGTGCAGGTCTCTGGTGAGTAACTCATGCTTGGGCACTATTCTACCAAAGTAAAAAGAAAATATTTTGCTATCTCAAATTGCCCACACCAAAGAAAAGCATATTTGTTGAGGAAACTAAAATCCACTATACCTTTTTACTCTCTCCAAGGATTGACAAGCTCACTGGCCAAAATTTCCTACAATGGAATCCATAAATTGTTAATATAAGTTATTAGTTATAATAGATTAATCCCCATAAAAACAGTTGATGGCT